CCCCTTTAATTTTCTCCACAGATCCGAAGGAATCACATAGTGCGAAACAAAAGTTAAGAAGGTCCCATGCGATTGGTCGTGATCGCTGTGGGCGGGGCGTCTCATCTGCTCAATAATCATAATGAAAAATAAATTGACTCCGAGAAATTCAAAAATGCCTTTAGTTTTTGAGGAAGGTTAGTTTTGTGCACCTCTGCGGCAGCAGAACTATAAATGAGCATTGGTGGAGGAACGGTCCTCCAATAAGGTCCTCAATTCACCACGACACTGAACCCAACTCTTGGTGTTCATTTGTTTCGATGGTACGAAAGGAGAGGACAATTTGAATGAAGTTCAAAAGATATTCACAAGTTTTTCGTTTGTTGTTTGTACCTGCGGAATAGCAAAACTATAAATGAACATTGGTGGAGGCTCGGTCCTCCAATAAGACTCAATCCAACGCTTGATGTTCCTTTGTTCCGGGGGTACTAGATTTGAATGAAGTTCAAAAGATATTCACAAGTTTTTCGTTTGTTGTTTGTGCCTGTAGAACAGCAGAACTATAAATGAGCATTGGTGGAGGCACGGTCCTCCAATAAGACTGAATCTAACGCATGGTGTTTATTTGTTCCGGTGATACTACAGGAGAGGACATTTTTAATGAAGTTTAAAAGGTGTTCACAAGTTTTGACTTACTTGCAGCTAAATCAGGTGAAAAAGATGACTTGATTCTCCTTCATTGCCATTATCTGTCAATGGAACATCTTGATATGCAAGTGCTTGTAAGATCCATCAATTTTATTCGTTTATGGTTAAAATGTGAATTTAGATCAACCTTTGAAGTATAGTAACAGTTCGTCATATGAAACTATTACTTAGGGTCCAATATTCTGAAGTTGCTGTTGCAATGTGTTTCCTGCACTGAAAAAGAAATCCATTCAACGTTATTAATGAAATTGGCTTAATGATCTATTGGTAATAAGATATGATTATTTATATATGAAACTAAATCGAGGATAATCGGCCCACTAATATTGAGAGGTCATACGCGGTAAGTACACTCTAGAGGTAACTAGCGACTAGTTTTTGTGTGTCAGATCCAAGAAAAATACCCGTTTCTGTTGACCAACCCTAATTTATACATAACTAAAACTCAATGTCTTCTTACATAGGAAACTTACGTTGCTACGCTGCTACGTAAACTGACGTTTACGTAGTCAGTTTACGTAGCAGCGAGCGAATTAAACGATTCTCCCTGTTAGGATCGTGGGGTTTGGGGATCGGGAGTCGTCGTGATTAGTGGGGGGTGCCACGACGGTCAGTGTATAGCTGTCACTGGTTCTCTTCGCCACAAGGCAACGCTTGATCCATGGCTTCCCGAAGCGGCCGTCGGCCATTTCTCTGACCGGAAACTGGAAACAACTGTTCGTCGCCGCATGGATTACATCCACGGAAATTGCGACGCATCGCGTCTTACGTACGTCCGCTTCTTTTGTTGCTTGGGTTTTATTTCCGAGTTAAGTGGACATAATTAAGCGTATTATCAGTAAACACTATCTACGCTCATCCAAAAGGTAAAAGCTTCAATACCAATTTTGAAGAAGAAGAAGTTGTGGCCAGCATATTTTTGGAACCAACAAGGATCCTAGAAATAACGGAAACCATTAACTCATTAAAAAGTATTTGTGCCCCAGGCATCGATGGTGTGACAAAAAAAGGTCTGCAGGCACTAATCAATATCATTGGACAAAAAATGGTAGAACTTACTAATAATGTACTGCAAACTGATAACTACCCTGAAGAACTGAATGCAATGAATAATTACAGTCCAATCTCCCTATTCAGCACTTTTCCAAGGTACTGGAAAAAAATATTAAGGCAAGGTTAATAAAGTTTACCGAAACTAAAATTAAATTTGACAATCATCAATATGGATTCCAAAGTAAAAGTAGTCCACAAGGATTGGATAAGAACAAATATGTAATAACAGTGTTTTTGGATATTCAAAAGGCGTTTGATACTATCAATATAGAGCTAATGATGAATAAATTAAATAAAATGGGACTTTGTGGGGTGTACTACCACTTGATTAAATCTTATTCTACAGCCAGAGGGCACTGTACAACAACAAAATAGTGAAAGCGGTGAACGACTTACTTCTAACGTCGGCATTGCCCAGGGATCGGTATTAGTGCCAATACTGTATTTGGTATGTACAAAGCCTCAAATATGCAAACTTAAAAGTAAGGTACTTCAAATTTGCAGCACTACATTAGTTTACTCGGGTGATAGTGCGGAACAGTTTGAAGAACTTGTTAATAAAGAAAAATAAATAAGAACTAAAAGTTCAGATTTTGTCCAGAATTGTTTCGGCAACACCGTGTCTTTATCATATGTGATAAAGACACGGTGTTGTCGAAACAACTGTCATGTAAATTGCTGTGCACAGAGAGGAAAAGCACCTCGTAACTTAAATATAAAAATAAATGGAGCGGAAAAGAGTGTGTGAATATAAATATCTAGGGCTAACTATCTCTGAAAATCTAACTTGGGATAAACATATTGAGGCTGTAATTGACAAAAATGTATCGATGCTAGGTGCAATAAAAAGATCTTCGAGTCAACTCAAGCAAAAAACAAGACAGGTGCTTTATAATAGCTTCATACTACACCTGAGATACTTGTTAACATGCTGGGGAAACACCAGCATAGCAAATTACAAAGGCTACAAAATAAAGTACTTAAAGTAATATTTGGAGGAACTTTAATATGTCTAGCGAAGAAATCTACACAAACCTGCCTTATTTAAAAATGTGTGAACTTAAGATATTAGAACAAACAAAATTAATTTACTTAATTGAAAACAAACTGATTAAAACAAATGAGAAACTGGCTGTAACTGAACAGTGTTACAAGAAACAATGATAAGTTAAGAAATGTATACGCAAGGACCAAAAAGAAACACGACTCGCTAATATACAGAAGCATTCACGTGTTTAATAAAATACCACAGACCCTATTAAAGGCCACTACCAACAAAATGTGTCATAACCTTAAGGACTTTATAAGAAAAAATAGAATATAAACTTATATTAACAAACTACTATATTTAATTTTACTAGAATGTTTTTTTTTTTAGTGGTTTTGCAAGGCCTCGGGGCCAGTTTATTTTTAACTGTTTAGAGGTCTGAAATAAGTAGATTTTGAAAAAATAACAACACTTATTATAGTTTATTATATTTATATTTATTTATCCATATAGATTATTGAAATAAATTGTTATTTAAAAAAAAACAGTATAAGTTGATATAACCATATGTGGTCCAAATGGATTTTTGGAACTGTTACAGTACTAATGATGGTACTAGAGCAGTCCAAAGAAGCCTCCTGCAAGAGATAGTGGCGACTTCCATTGCTTGTAACTTGCTCCCTAAACTCTCTAACATACAAGTAGAAATTGCATCGTACCTACAGGACTTGAAGAACAAAAACAATTGTGCATTGCTTTTCCAGACTTTAACTCCTCTTTTGCGTGCAAATTTAACACGCGCCGCATCCAAACATCGACGATCTGTCAGCGGCCATGTTGTTTGTTGAAAGCCGCCAATTCTTATGGGTCAAAATTTGTCATTAGAGCTGCCATTGAGAGATTGAAAATGATAATGTTTTTTTTCACTCGATGGCTCGCTGCTAACAACATCCGTTTTGTAAGTAAGCAGCTTCCTTTTGAAGCTCTATTTTTCTGTGACATGGGAAAATCGTTTATGTCACCCTGTCAATCCGAATTAAGAGAAGATGAACTTTCCGGGGATTAGTTAAATCCAGAACTAAACATTGACAACTTAAATGTTTATCCAGATTAGATATGTTCTCAAGTTTGGACGATTATTATTAGATGCGTAGGAAAAGGACGAAAGATAAAACGAAAAGTTCTTAAAATGAAATCACCTTCACTTATTTTTAAATTTCTAGCGCAGTTGCATGCAAGTGCCCTTCTAAACCTGTATCCACCGATAAATATCTTAGTCATCTGTTAAACTGTCGATTAACTCTTACTAGTAATTTACTTAATTGCAGTATCCCCCATGACATTTTTAAAGAGTTTAAGCGCCATCTGTGGTGTAGTAACAGATGTATTTTTACGTGAAATTTTCATTGTCTTAAGAAGACAGCCATATTTCTTTACTTTTTACTTTTTCGAAGTAATGTGGCCTTTAAGATTACGCCCTAGTGGCTTACATCCGGAAAGTCTAAGTCATTATTTCTCTCATCTTCCATTACGTCCATTTTAACAAATCGCAATTATGTTATTTCTGCTTTTATATAGCAAACCGACTTCACTACAACTCACTCTCACTTTTCAAGCCAATAATCCACTAAAATCTGGTCAAAAATCGTCAGAGTATAAAAATTGCTTTTAATAAAATACTGTTGCTTTAACAGTGATATATAATAGTCTGTGACCGAGTTTGTTTGTTTGTCTCTTCTGTGGTTATACATTCCCAACAACAATTGATTAGGGGAAATCAAACAAAACTAACAAAATACAGGCTAATTTTTACACAATTATAGTGCGGAAAGACAACAGCAAATGTCGCCCCACGATCTAACATTCAATGTCTTCTGAGGATTAAACTTGGAGCGTAATAGCGTCATCTACACCATATCGTTCGCAACTGACCAGTTTGCGCGTCGCATCGATCGCGTGTTTGTCCGCACACACGTCGTTAGAGGTCGCTACTCGTTTACGGGTTGACATACGTTAAAATGACGAATTTAACACGTAACTTTACACTTAACGTGAAAGCAGTATGTCCAGTAACCATTGAAATAAGCGGAACTATAAATGAAACGCAGAAACCGAATTTATTATAAGCAAACACCGCAATTGGATGCAAAAGCTATTTCCGTGGATGACGTCATAAACATTCGTTCCCGACGTAGTCATCCCCGGTTTCTTTTCAACCCTGTTCGCCGCCTATCCGTCAAAGTCGATTCGCGTTGCGATCGAGTGGCGCCGCTCGCGGCGCCTTCACACGATGTCGTCCGCCGTTCGATTTTTCGACGTCCGCCGTCGCGACGGCTCGCCGTTTCGGGATATATTAGGCGCGATGGTCCTGTGAACCGCGCGAATCATGGTCGGATCCGCAAGCATGGACGAGCACGAGCGTAAAATCGTGATGGAATTCGTACACCTGCTCGAAAAATCGAAACAATTGTTCAACGGGTTAAGGTAGGTTGACAGAGGGAGACATGTACGTGACTCATACGCGTGGCCTGCGAAATCGGCAGGCGACAACCCTATCTGCAGCCGGGACGATGTCCCGAACCTAAAGATGTGTATGTGTAGGCGAGCGGGGTGGCTATGTGATTATGACAATATCTCCCATTTTTTTAAATTACTTTCGTTTTTCGGTTATCTAGTTGTGGTTAGTTTTGGTTGGGGGCTCCAAATAACGCCCGCGTTTATCCGTTAGTTGCGTGACGCGACGTGACGTCAGCGTCTGCAACGGACGGGCCACCCACAGAATAAAAACGTCATCGCTGCCGCGCTCTTCTTCTTTTCGCGCCGGGGCCAGTGTACCATTGCGGGTCACAAGTGAAAATTATTAATTAATTGGAAGCGTAGCCATTATATTGCTATTTCTACGGCCTCTTCAAGTATAACGAACCACGTCTGTGTAATTTTTTGTAGGTTCTTTGTTCAGTTTTTTTCGGAATTCTCTCATTCACGCCATCGGTTTTAACTTTTGATGTGCGGTCAGTTGTGTTTTGGTTGTAATTGAGGACGACAGCGGCAAGTGCGGGCATTCGTTTAGTGTGGAAAGTTTTGGTGAAGTGAATTGATTCAGGTGGAGAGTTGTACAGCACTGTAAACAAGAGAGCTGAAAATTGATGACTTCTTGAATGTTGGGCATTGTTTTTTATTAATAAGAATACGATATTATTAGTTTCTAATTCAATATTATTATCGATGGAGTTTAAACAACAAATGAAAAAAGTACGATCCACATAGTTTCGGTGAAGATTCTCGGATTTTAATGTATCTGAAATTGAAGCGAGGGTTTCGGGCAGCAGGATTTTTAGTAAAAAGAGACTAACTAAAACTAACCGGAGCATCACTCCGACTTGATGTAATGGTTTTCACCTGAGTCTTTCCCCTAGCGCGTGTGATGCACAACGTAATGCACTCCTCAAATTTGTCCTTCAAATTTTTCATAGAATAAAGTGAATTGTGAAAGTTAATTTCGACTATACTTTGTCAGCGGTTGGTTTTGGCGTTGCAGGGACCTGCCGCAGTACGGCCACAAACAGTGGCAAGCGTACTTCGGTAGGACGTTCGACATCTACACGAAACTGTGGAAGTTTCAGCAGCAGCACCGCCAGATACTGGACACCAAATACGGTCTGAAACGGTGGCAAATAGGGGAGATCGCCTCCAAGATCGGTCAGCTCTATTATCACTATTAGTAAGTCCGCTAAGTCTATTAAAATTGTTTCAAGTTCAATTTGCTTTAGGGTGAAATTTGCCACAGTCAGTCTAACCATAAGTAATCACAGTAGCAATACTGACACCGTCGATACTTCGTTTATAATTAATTCATATTCAAATCTTCATATGTCATTTTGAGTAAAAAGAGAACAGCGGCTCCACATCGCGGCTTGGAGAACTATATTTCTGTAACCCGCGAATTTATTTTCCGACGGTGGCGCCCCCATACTTAGATGTTTAGATGCAATTTCAATGTTTACGTGAACATAGTAAAGCAGTAATAGTGGCTCTGTTATCATTTTGTGTGGGAAACTATCCTATTTTAAAGTATAATGTGAAAACCGGAGTTTTGTTAAAAGCAAAGCATGTAATTTTAATGGGGCCCACTGCAGGGATAGGCAACTTGTAGGACAACTTTTTACACCGTCACCGGAGGGATTTGTTTTGTTTTTCGAGTTAAAAAGGACCAACTCGTTTGTCTTTCTCGTTTCAGTTTAAGGACCAGCGAAACGAATTACTTAAACGAGGCGTATTCGTTTTACGCCGCGATCAGGGGACGTGCTTACTACTCGAGGGCGTCGAAAGAGGACAGGTAGGTGTACGGGGCGGGGGAGGTGTCGATTGTTGCGGCCCAAAGAAAAAAATTCATCAAAAATTTGTAGAGTGTCGAATGATACCGCCAGGATCCAAAATCATCCGCGTCCCGGATGTAGTTCCTGGAAAGAAAGCAAAAGCTCGGGGTAAGCACGCATATATATAGATATTTATATATAACGAAAATTTAAAACGTCGGGGTTCGTTTTTAAGAAGCATTTATCAGTTGCTTAGAGGTTATTAGAGAAAGCATAGATAAGAATGAAAAAAGCTTTCCATGCTTGTGCATTGCAATGCAAAACACTTTAAATTTCAAGCATCGCAAAAAGACAAATTAAAATTCACGATGACCGTGGAACTGTATTTTACTGCTCCAATGACTCGAAGCTTCTCTGAATTTTGATGAATTTTGGTCGCGTCGCAGGCCATTCCGTCCTTGCCACGCCCACCTCGGACCACAGCCTCTCACTTTGTTTTGATGGGCGTGTCCCTTTTATTACCCTTTAAAAAGTGTTTTCGTATAGTAGAGCATTTTTTATTGTATTAAACTTCACTTGTCCTATGTCTTTGGTAATATTTTAAAAATAATTTAAAATTAATAATTTATTTCGACTTTCTGCGATGTGGGTGATGAACATTTGCGTTTTCATTAAAACCTTTAATTTTTTTTTATTTTCTTTAATATATGTGATACCACTTTAGATATATTAATGAAATTTGTCACACAAATACTATGTATCAAGAGACATTATTCAGTATACCACAATTTTTTCAAAATACGGAACTTTAATGGTACGCTACTGATTTCTCCTCATATAAAAATTACTCTTAAAATCGTTTAAAAAAATTTAAATAAATTTAAATAAATAATTAACCAAAATACAATTTGTTCATAGAGAGTCAGTGGCACGCCACTGATTTTGTTTAAAAAATTACTGCAATTAAAAAAAGGTTCCGTCTGCCAAAATAGACTGATGAAATTCCCTGCTACTGGTGTATTTAAAAAAATGGTGGTATACTAGATAATTTCTTTTCATACATAGTACATGTGTGCCAAATTTCATTAAAATCTAATCTAAAGTGGTATCAAAAACATATATTTAAGTTAAGGCGTTCATTTGAAATTTTTGAAATTAATTATTGACATTCAGTCAGAAAATACCCTTATATTTTTTATTTTTAATTTACTTTTGGAGGAGGTCTGTGTTGATATTTTTAAAATATTTAAATACCGAAGATAAAAAATAACCTCATTAGCTCACAAATTCTTATTTCTATGATCAGACTAAAAAAATTGACACTTTTGTCTTCAAAAAATTTAACCAATTTACGAATTTGAATTTGTAAGGCGCGAGCGTCATCTACCTTGAGATTTATGAAACGTGTAGTAGCTATGAAGTTGCAGTAAATCCTTTCAGGCTTTCTGTTTTGATGCACGTATCTGATGATTCTCAATTGCTTTACTCTCTTAAGTGGACCTAAAGTCTCCATTCGATATATCTTCAGCTCGTAACTTTAAGTTTAATGCCGATAAGAATGATATAACGCTTGATACTGAAGCAGAAGAAGATCTTGGGCTATTTATGATACTAACCTATAATTCTCAAAACACGTGCCTGTACCTTTTCTCAGGAACTACTGTTTTTAGACAAAAAAAAGGTTATACAAAAGTTTTGTAGTTTGAATTAGATTTTAAAATTATTTAATTTTTATATATACATACGCGATAAGTGCCGGACCTACATTTTAATATTTTTAGAATCCTTGCCAAAAATAAAGATAATTGTTATAGAAACTAATTATTCGAATTTTGTGTAGTTTCGATAGAAATTGAAATTATACATTTTTAACAAATTATTTTTAGAAGAAATGGTATGTATAATTATGATAGAAGTTAAAAAATTTAAAACAACAGAGAGAAATAAAAGCAACCAACAAGGCTTGCCTAAACTTTGCATAAATTTTTCGAAAAAGCTTGGTCTCTGAAATCCGTCTACAGGAAACTGATACTCTCTAAGAGCGATAAAAATCATTCAAGCATCTCTCCTTTCCTTGCAACTTATACATTTTTAACTTAACTAATAATAATATTGCTTTATTAAAATCACATCTGTCAAACTCTGACTCTTAATTATAACGTCACTTAAAACTATTATAAACACTTATTTTTTAGTTGCCATAGCGTACTAAAAAGTAAGTTTCATAATAATATAATTATATGCCCTTTAAAGATTTTTTTGCTATTAATTAAAATTGTATTTAAATATGCGAAATATATATGTATATGTATAATTCTGCAACTATAATTTTTAAATACCTAAAAAGAATAATATCTTTATTATCCCACATATTTAGAATGCAATCACTGTATTGTGCATTTCGTCAGTATAGATCATGCAAATGAGGCAGAAAATTACATTAAAAATTTATATAGTAAAAATATATGACAGAGCACAATAGAGTGATGATGATTGGTAAAATATTCGTTTAAATTATAAAATCAGTTTTCTAGGAGGAAAAACTTTAGTTTGGTTTTAAAAATGTAAAAATGTTTACTACTGCTGTTTAGTTCTGGGGACAGTCTATTGTAGACTCTAATACCGGTGTCCGTAAAATGTTTTCTTGAAAATTCTAGTCCATTTTTTTTTATGAAGAAACAATCTTTGTTGCGTGTATTATAGTCGTGGAAATCTCCGTTTTTTTGTAAGGTATTTCTATTTTTATATATCCCATAAACAAACTTCTATAAACTCCCGGAAATGAGGCCTGCCCGAACTATCCGGCGACACTCCAACAATAGACCTTAGCACTTTTTTTTGGGACAGATGTCGCATGACTTGATTTTCCCCAATAGGGTTTACCCTAGAGTATTCATAGCATAGCAGAGTAACATAGCATAGTAGAAATTTATCATCCATTTTGCAGTCAAAACAGTTTTTAATTTTTTTATTAGGAAGCAATAACTATGCAGGTTTGATGAAAATAATTGGCATTGAGTTTCCCAAGGGTTTCGTCGAGCTCGAGTCCTAAAAATTTAGCGTGCTTTTTTATGTCAATGGCCTTCCCGCCCGACCAGACATTGACAGAGAGATTTTTTGTTTGTTTTGTGGGCATTTGAATATCAGTACACTTGTTTTTTGGAGATTCAAAAAGAGTTCGTTAGTGTTTAACCAGTTATTTAGCAGTGTGAGGAGACTAAACTTGAATAGTCATCAGCGAACTCCCATAGACCTGAACTTGGTAGGTGAGCAGAAAGTTCATTGATAAAAAGGAACAATAAAAAAGGGCCTTGCGGTCCGCCTCTTAATTTGACACAAGTTGAATCAGTTCAAAGCTATTCTACGAATATCGTATTGTTCCATCCTATTCAAAAGAATTTCGTGGTTCATACAGTCAAACGCCCTGTTAAGATCACAAAATATCTCAGCAAGGTAAGAAAGAAGTATTCTAAAAATGTGTTTAACATCTGAACAAGTAGTCATTTACTAAGAACATAATTTTGCATAAAAAAATATATAATCTCAATTTCTGTCTAAACTACACAAAATTCGAATAAATAGTTTCTATAAAAGTAACCTTTATTTTTGGCAACGGTTCTAAAAATATTAAAATATATATGGAGTTCCATTTAAAATCTTAAAAGTAATGTCGGTCCAGCACTTATCGTTCACACGGTATATATAAAAAATAAATAATTTTAAAATTCAATTTAAAACATTAAGCTTTTGTATAAACTTTTTTTTTAATCAGTAGTTCCTGAGAATTCCTGAATTGATGGTTCTTGTTTTCTTTCGTCGCCGTTTTTTTTTTTAATTTGTGAGACTGGCAAGGTGACGAGGTGACGCTGCGACGACACTCCCCCCACCCCCCGCGCCAATAGCGCGACGCAAAGCAACGCAAGTCCCCACCCCCCGTGTTGCAGGTCCGAGCTGATGGTGAAGAAGTTGCGGTACTATGCGCGTTTCATCGTCGTCTGCCTGCTGCTGCGCCGCATGAAACTGGTCAGGGAGCTCATAGGCGAGCTAGATAGACATATCGTAGATTACACGAGCACCTACGAGCCCGACGATCAGATCGAGTGGAGTCTGGTGCTCGACGAAATCAATAGGTTCATCGCAGCTGATTCGCTGGTCACCGTTTTGCACGCAGACACCAATCCCATCGTGCTCTCCCACAGGTGAGTCTGGAATTCGGGACCCAACTTCCCCCGGCCTCGGTTCACATCTACAGTGCAGTCCCGTTCTGAAAATATCGTCGCAACTTTGTTTTTTCTTCTTTCTCGTAAAATGTAAAAGGGATAAATCTGACAACGTTGCTATTGCTGAGAAAGCTAACCTAAACTCCCGACTTCGAGTGTCGCAGAAGTCTGTCGCAATGCGTTTGAACGTGTGATATACTTTCAGCAGTTTTCGTTGAATCTAAAAAGGTAATAATATACAGGACGTCCCATTAAAAAAAAACAACGAAGTCGGTAGCTGGTTCGAGTAGATACGTCAACGCTGCACAATTCTTATTCTCTCTCGTTCAATGGTTATGTTATGGGGAACTTGCTCAAAAAATAAAATCATTCAAAAGCAATTAAAATCGTTAGATATTATCCATATTCGAAGAAGTTTAATTTCTTGACAAGCAAAATTTCTAGTTTTTAGTTAACAACAAAAATCCTTTAGAAAAAAAAATAGAAAATTTATTTTTACTTTTACAGTTTTAACGAAATAACGTGACAACCTAACAACGAGATAAATAATAAACGATTCTTGTTTATAAAAAAAAACACTACCTACCATTAATAATTTTTAATAAAATTGTCTATTAATAAATTAACATCAACCTTTTTGGGTTGTTTTGATTAGTTTCAGTTAGGTTTGTTTATTTTTTTTAGTTTTTGTTAGTTTTGCAGAACGCTCTTCTGCAGTGTTAACTGAGGTGCGATAAACTAGACTTTTAAGATGTCCCTATAGGAAAAAGTCCAAACTATCTAAATCTTGAGATCTAGGGGGCCATGGTTGAGGTCCGCCGCGACCTAGCCATGATATTCTGTCCGTAATTAAAAATGTTACTTCGTCTAGCATAATTGGAAAATCCTCTTCACAAAACCGGCGATAATTTGACAGAAAAAGGGTCCGATTCGATATTGCATTCTTGGAAAAGTTATCTTCTTCTATAAATAGTATTTCTTGGTCAAACAAGAGATAAAATATTCTGTCTAATAATCTCCACTTTCAAAATATTAAGCGTTCCGTCAAAAAATGCACTTCACCACAACCTTCCAATAGCAATGATGCCGAAAGCAATCACACACTTGCCACTGTTGTCATCCCTGACCACATATCAAGAGTTCTATAGAAATATAGAAATTAAAACCAAATTTACGACTTGTCCAAAAATCTCTCAACGTCTTCCTTCCATTCGATATGCCAGAAGTTTCCAGCATTCCATTCCAACTAGGCTGAAAGAATATGAAATAGTCTTAAAACTAAGATAAACAAACTCATCAGCTCTTGCCGAACAAAATCACGAAACTTCGATAAAACTAAAATTCTTGCAATATACTCAATTCTTTTACCAACGAAAAATCCGAGAGTCTATAGAATCTATGAACAACCTAACAATCTTAACCGCGACTCAGGTCTCACCTGTCACCAATATGGGAATCAGTCATCGGTACAATATATACGCAGCTACAGAGTAGTTGGACTCAGGAAAAACCGACGCAAGAGGAATCCAGAAGTTTTGGCAAAAAGCATTAAAAAAATATATTTTATTTTTGAAAACTTTACCACGCTACCTAATCTAGAGTTAGAATTAGGGGGCACCTCGCTACAATTCGAATCCCGACGGTTTTAGCGGCCAGTTTAAAAGAGGTAGTCTTTTTTTTCTCACAAAAAAATTAAGCAAAAGCGCGGGAATTGTTGACTTTTTCGCGACGTGCGTCGCCCCGACGCGTTTTATAAGGCGAGCGAGGGCTCCCCCCTCCTCCGCCGCTCGTTCCATTGCCGATACCGAAGGATCAACAATTTCGAATAAACACTCGAAATTGGTGACGGGAAATGTTTTTTTTTAATATAGAAACCTAACTAAAAACTAAAAAATAATAGTAAGAAAAAGTATAATAAAACATTTTATAAAAATGACAATATTTTTGGGCCACATTTTTAATAATAATAATAATAATAATAGTACCGTTTACCCTTACTTATTTACTGTATATATTTTGGTTTTGTTTTTAGTCCATAGTTTACAGATTTTGAAATTACCATTTTTATATCAACTTTGAGGTTGTGGAACATTTTGCAGGTTTTTTGTCGGTGTTATAGAAAAAATCAGCAAAGCTGTGGATCTGTATTTTGATTAGTTTTAGCGCTGTATTTGTAGACAAACAGATCAGTAGACATTTGGTATCTATTTTTTTTTAGATTGAAACTTTATATAAAATAAAGTTAAATTTACAAAAAAATATTACACTGCGTGTAAATTTGCTACCTGAGAGGTCGACCAACAGTTTGTTAGGAGGTGGTTGGTGGGGGTCCGGTTTTGGGTCTTTAGTCAGTTAAAGGAAGCGCGTTTCCAGGCTGAGCCCGTTGACGACGCCGCCCGTGGAGAAGTCGCAGTTCATGAACCTGACGCTGCAGGAAATCCTGATCGTGGGCAGCGCCTCCGATCAGGTGAAATTTTCCGAATTGACGATGGATATGTTCCGGATGATCCAGACTCTGGAACGCGAGCCCCAGGAGGACTTCAATCACATCTACGACGCGTCGCCTGCGCCGGGACGCGCCCCCTACGGTGTCCCCGGCTCCAAGGGGTTCCTGGAGAACGGCGACAGGCCGCTGCGCAGGGAGAACCCCCACAAGTATCTGCTGTACAAGCCGACGCTCAGTCAGGTGTTGGTGTTTTTGGCAAGCGGGTTCAAAGAGTTGCCCGCGAACGGCGCCCTCCTGCTCTACCTGTCCGCGGACGGATGTTTTTCGACCACGAAACATCCCGAAGACAGTAAGTAAAAGTGCCGACTTATCGGTAATAGGTTTTAATAACAACAACAACATTCGGGGCCGCTTTGGTGAAACGGAATCGGCATCGCAAATGAAACGTTTTCATTTTTCGTCTGTTTTCTGTTCCCCCTCGCGTCTGTTCTCTGTTCCCTGTCGGCACATCGCGGTTAGTTAGATCCGGATAAAAAAAATGAAGAATCATATTTATATATAACGCACAGGGTAATTTAAAAAAAAATTGGTTCTTTTCTTAAACATAATTTGCTATAAATAGAATTTTTTGAGGTGACCATACCGACCATATAAACACCTAAAACTTTTTTATTTAACGTTTCTACATATTGTACCGGATGTTTGAATGAGGAGCTCTCGATTCCAGACGTTTAAACTTTAGAAGTTGGGCACAATCAAAAGGTATTAAAAACATTTTTTTTTCTTCAAAATTTTTTTTTTCGAAAACTATTTAGCCGCTGGGTAAAATTCTTGAAACAGGATACGCGAGAAATCCGAGACTATGTCTTTTATTTTAAGCGTTGTTTCGATAATATACCTCGTTTTTCGGATATGGACAAGAATCTAAAAGACCCTGAAAATTGTCCTTGTAATGTAGACCGTATCACGCAATTTTGAAAAATTTGAAAAAATCCAAATGAAAATCACCATTTCTCAGTAGCATGGTTTCGAAAAACAAGTGTTGGAGAAATTTATATACCAGGGCTAAAACCTACTATAAACGACATAGTGGGTTTTTTCGTCTTGTTTTACTTTTCATTTTCAGTTTTCTGTTGCGGGTTTGGACTAGATACATATCAGATATTTTGCCGAAAACATCCGTTTATTAAATTCTCTGTAAGGCAACTTACAAGTAGTATTTAAAAAAATTGAACTGAGGTTTTTACTTGATGAAAATCCATTTAACACAATAAATAAGAACTATAAGTTCAGATTTTCACGAAATTATATATATATATATATATTCATATGACAATTATTTGGACAACACGGTGTCTTTATCAAATGTAATATTTGCAAACTAACTGCTACTATATATGACAATAAAAACCTTAATTGATGTTGTTGTGAGGATTTAAGTTTAATAAATAAGGTAGAGGTATTTAAATCTAATCTCCATGGCTTCCAATAAATTGAATTTTCTACTTTTTGTGGCTGTATGTAAAATATCAAAATCGATGTCAAAAATGTGTTTTTCTGTGTTTAAGTGTGTAGCATAAGTAAAATCTACATCTACCTGTTTGTCCAATATAAATTTTAGGACATGATCCGCATTTCAACCTGTAAACACTTGATTTTTGAGATTCGCTTTATTGATTTTTAAAAAATTTCCTGTTGTGTTGTTAGTTCCGAAAGTTATTCTTAAATCACATTTTGACCACACTTAAACACAGACAAACACATTTTTGACGACAAATTTGATATTTTGCATACAGCCACAAAAAGTAGAAAATTAAATAAATTTATTGGAAGCTATGGAGATTAACAAAATGAGGCATTCAAATGTATTGCTTAACCATCAATTAGATTTAAATACCTCTCCTTTACACTTATCAGTTGAGTCAATCCAACCCTTTTCGGGGGTATCATAAGTGTCGAACCAGGTTTCATCCAAGTAAATAATTGGCTTTTGTTGTTCTCTGTAAATCCTATTTTTTTCTAGATATTCCAGTCGCCATTTCCGAATTCAAAAAGATTCCATTAAAATTTGCCTTTTGTCAATTTTTTTAATTCTAAAAGCCATGTGTTGAATACGCTTCTATAAGGTAGTTCTGCCACATTTAACACCGGTTTCATCTTTTCAAGCCTGCTAATTAAGATATCTAATGTAGGCACGCTTTGTTCCTCGTATAACTGGTAAATTTTACGCCGTATTATATTTTGATCACTTCATCAATTTTCGTCAATGTGGCCGTTTCTTCTAAAGATGCTTGCTTGCTAGCACCATGTTCAATTAGAATCAAATAAACATTGTTTATAAGTTCCTTAGTCTCAATAGAATGGTGTTTTCTACATTTGGGCGGGAGCATCTCCTGAGATACACTACTCGCACATATTTTGCATAATTCGCACACGATTCAACACACGCTGTATTACACACGAAATAAGAATGACTACTAATAAACTTAAACTAAGTATTATACCAAACCAAATAATATTAAACACAGGTAAGTATAAAATTATTTTCTATTAAGGACCACAATTTTACATGAATTTAAATTCCGAAACTTTAGGTAATAATTTTGTTACATTGTATGTTAATAATCCCATTCAAAAGCAATTGGTCACTGTCTTATATCTATGAACAGACCATACCTTTGATAAAGACACGGTGTTGTCGAAACAAATGTCATGAAAATGAAAATATCGTCCAGTCAAGAATGACTTCTAGATCAACTGGGTTAAAACTTTTAGATCTCGATAATTAGGAGGCTTACATTCAAACACCTCCTGAGCTACCACGTGTCAAAATGCAAAAGTGTAATGTTAGCACGGAATTTTAACAATTAACGATCATTTTCCTTTTCCTATAGTCCTGCCTTCGTTTTTTCTTCTTTCCTTTCTTTTTCTTTGTACCCTGTCACTCTTCTGTACCGTTCTCTACGTAAGGTAAACTTCAATTATTATAATTACGGGGGATATGAAACGTTGTAATAGTTCTTTGTTGTACGTTTAGTTTCACTTCTTCCTTTGAGAAGGAAGCCGCTTCTTTTGTAAAGCTTCACATAACGCATTAAACTTCTCGTGAACCGTGTCGCTTTTATTCCAGTGGGTTACGACCTCGGAGGCGTGTTGACCAGCACAAAACGCGACGGCGAACACAAAAAGACGAAAGAAATTCACTGCCTTTATCCGGGTGACCTGTACCCGTTCACGAGACGTCCGATGTTCGTCATCGTCGACTCGAACAACAGTTTCGTGTTCCAACACGTGCCGAGGTACTTCGGGCAGCCGCTGGTGACGCTCATGTCGCCCCAAGATGCGCCGCCCGCGTTCCACGGTAAGTGGCGCCCATTTCAATTTTTCAAAGACACTTCCGCAGGCTGCCTCCTGCATCGATTGTTGTTGAGTCGAACTTGCCAGTCATCCTGTTGGCTTCTTCAGAGCTTTACTCTGTACCTGCTTATATATGGTTTGAATGGGGCGGAGCTAAGTGAGAAGCAATAGAGAGATGTAAATCTGTCCATTAAATTCAAAATAATTTTGGTCTAAAGATACTATTAAGCAATCTAATAAATCTCGTTTCACCAATGGGTTAACCTGTTTCCGAGTTAGGGTGAAATCTACTAAATCTATCACATCACACTGGGAAATAAGTTTTTGATAATTTTGTTGATTAATTGAAAAGAATTTTTGATTACAAATTTTGGTTTCAAATCTGTGTGGAACTTCAAAATATTTAATAATTTTGTTGACAGTTTAATTGCTGGAGCTGTTACATAAGACACGACTGGTCTTGTTTATGTAATTTAACTAAAGAATATAATTTCGGCGGTTGTTAATTCATAATTGTTGAAAAATCACTAAATAGTGTGGAGTTAGTAATCACTTCCTTGACTTGTCTTTGATATAACTCGGTAGGATCGTGTTTGATACATTGAAAAAGTTCCGGTTTAAGAAAATTGTTGGTTCTTGACATATATTCTGGGAGAATAGCTATGACTGTCTTCTCTTTATCTGCATGTGTAAATATTATGTCATTTTCAGGAGCTTTGTTTTTGATAGTTTTTACCAACGACATTTGAGAAATTTCTTAGTGTTTGTTGTTATCTATTGCTTATGGATTTTTGTAGATTCTCTGATTTTCCGTTGCAAAAATTCTAGTTTTATCGAATAAAATTTTATGTCCGGTTTCGTGATTGTGTTCGGCAACTGCTGATGAGTTTATTTGTCTTAAGGCTCTTTCATGATCTTTGAGCATATTTGATATTTTTAGTCCGGTCTCTCCAATGTATTCTTTGCCCCATATGCATAGAACGCCGCAAACTCCTGGCATCTCAAATGGAATTTTGTCTTTGACGGATTGAAGCTGTTGAGAGATTTTTGGACAATTGACAAATCTGGTTTAGACGCTATATTTCTATAAAACTCTTGATATGTGGTCAGTGATTGGTTTCGACCTCATTGCTAGGTTAGGTTGCTCATAGATTTTTATAGGCTCTCGGATTTTTTGTTTGTAGAAAAAAATTTTTGAACAAACTTCGGGAACAGCTACGAGTTCTCCACTATCAGCAGTCGTCGCGAATATAGTTAAGAAGAAAGAAGAAAGCTCTCGACACCTTCCATCTAAAAACCAAATTTATTGAAACGCTTCGTCGATGATACTTTTGTTATTTGGTCCCTAGTATAAAATTGTATACGATAAAACTAAAATTTTTGCATGTAATCAATTCTTCTACTAACCAAAAATCTTACCAATGTTAACCGCGACTCAGGTCTTTACCTGTCTCCAATAAGGGAATCAGTTATCCGAGACGGTGTTTATGCCCCCTTCAAACCATATATAAGCAGCCACAGAGTCCAAGTTTCATTCAAGCTCTGAAGAAGCCAACAGGATGATTGGCGAAACGTCACCAAGTCCGACTCAACATAAACCGACGCAGGAAGAATCCAGAAGTTTTGTAAAAAGACGCCCATATTGCTATATGGCGGCCCCACTACGGTAAAAATTGATGCGCCGCGGGCGGCCATGATATTTTCGTAGAGAAGGTGTGGATCTTTGGCGCATTCACACAATGGGCCAGGGAAACCCTAGATGTTTGACTAATTCTTTTTTTTTTTCGTAATGCCAATAAATTTTTCTTGATATTAATAAAAACACAACAATTATTAAGAACATCAAACTTTAATACAACATAATTATTATACAGGGTGTTCACAAAATAGTCTATATTTACAAACAGTTTTTAATTAAATCATGGAAACGGTTTAATAGCACTACACAAAATGCAAAAACATTTTGAAATAATTATATTTAAGTAAATAAAAATAATAATAATACCGCACGTCCCACAAGTAACAATTTAACAAAAAAGTTATATATTTAATACAAATTAAAACAGAATATTGTTATCGGATTTTTTAAAATATTTTAGTTTGTTTGCTTGAAAGGAACGAAATAAACGGTTTACAGGGTTTTTATACATCTAAAATATCATTCAGTTAAGCACTTTGCTATGTTTTTGTTACAATTTGTGCATTAGTCATAGCTCTGGAAAAGTTTCATACGGTAAATTGTATAAATAAAACATTCACAAAATGACACTGACAACAAACGTTACAAAATTATTGTTGACGTTTCCATGGTAACAAGACGACTTAAGTGGCTTGTTTCGTGAAGGTTCACGGCCTAATTAATTAGTCTGTGATAAGGAAAACGTTCATTCCCTGGCCCAACCGTGCGTCACCCGCCAACCGACTGCGTTGCCACGTTGCCGTATTTTTTCTGGAAAATTGTTTAATTTTCAACGCCTAGCTAAGTAATTATAATCCTGCAAAAAATATAGTGCGTTTACTGCTTTGACGTTTTAAGTGTTTTACATTACCTAAACCGCAGGGTATTAAATATTTAAATGGATATTTGTTTAAGTTGCCAGGTATGAATATCGTACCTCCTTGAAGTATCTATCCCGTGAAAATAATTTACTGTCAAAGACTTTCGAGATGTTTCATATCGTTTATCGTCATAAACGGCTACTGTAGTGGAGATCGACTTTCAATGCAATAATTTTTTATTGAAAAATCACACTGTAAATATAAAAGCATAATCGTCCATAGAGCAACAAGTGAACAAAATAAAAACATTTGTCGAATAAATGTGACTTTAAATATAAGTGGTTAAAAACACCTAAGTTTTTCGACGATAACTTCCAAACGGTTTGAGCTACAGGCTTCAAATTTTGCTCCTTTTTAACCGTCCGCGGGGTGCATAAGATACGTAAAAATGGCTGCGTTCCAGTTTCGCCGACCATTTTTTTTTTCGATTTTCGACTGTTTTTTTAACGTTGCTATGAAACAGGATAACTGTTCGAAATTTGAGGCTATCGACTTCAAATTTTTCAATAGTGTTTGGTCCCTCAACGGAACTTATTGAAATTGGAGGGGTTGGGGGGGTCAGGAAGAAATTTTATAAAAATTAAAAACTGCATTTGCAAGGGCCCTCGAAAACTGTTTATGGAACCGGAAAGATTCTTGAACGAGGACACGTAGAAGATTTGGCTGCATAAACCTTGATTCTTGACATTTTTTTCAAAATGTACAGGGTGGGCCGGAATTTAAAAAAAAAACTTTCTAGTCAGTTCAAACAGTATCATAGACCGCATCAAGAGCTACAATTTGAAAAAATCCATATGAAAATCACTATCCCGGGGGCCGTCAAGACGCGACGACGTAATTGATTATTACGGCGCGTTGCTGGTTTCAGAAAAAAAATATTTTCTCGAAAAGCATTTACTATTTTAGAAAAATTCTTCGACTAGGAAATATGGAAGATCCAGGCCTATAACCTTTATTTCCGGATTTTTTTTGAAAAACTATAAAACATGGGATAATTTGGTTTAAACAGTTAAAACAGTTTCGTCTCTCATACAGAGTACGCGGGATATTTGAAATAATATACTGGAAATCGTTTTGACTTGCACATTTTTTTATATTTATCAAAGATTTTCGTGACTTTGAAATTCCGCGATAAGTAATATATATGTATATATAATACAATATAATTACATCGATTTTGCGAATGTTCCATAGTGGTCCGCAGGAGCACGATAGAAAAACTATGCGTTATAATTACATTGATAAATTAAATATAGTATAATAGAGAAATGTAATCGTAATGTGGAACAGTGGAAAGTTATTAAAAGTAAAAAAAAAAGAATAACATTGAAAATCAAATTATTTGAGAAGTTGGCAGTTTCGACCTGAAATATTTTTTAAAGAATTTAATTGAATGTGAGTTTACCGAATCGTTGTAATTTTTAGTAGTATACCATTATAAATTACAACGGCATTATAAGAAACTGGCTAATAAGTTGGGCTAAGAGAGGACTAAACCATAGTTCGTAATCGAAAGGACAAGTGACTGAGCTAAAAGTTTCGCGTGCTGAAAACGCATAATTTTTTGGATTTATTGCTCAAAAAGAAATTTTCTACTGCCGTCGAGTGGTATCAAGGTTGGTGGGTGGCGACCAGTCCTTAGCGGTCACCATTTAACGGGCGTTTCCGATCGCAGAGCAGCAGCACAACGGGTCCCTGTTCACCCTGTTCCTCCATTCTCCATTAACTGCCTTTTGTTACTGCTGTAACATCACTAGTATAGCGATCCACCACTGGGAGCGGTGCCAGAGCTACGTCGACCGCTTCGTCACCGAGGCGTCGCGACTCTTCACGCGCTCGCGAGTTGGTAAGTTGAAAAAAACGTCGAACGGCCTTTTATCGCTTTAAACTGTGCCCTCGTTTTTTTTTTTAAGTAAATGGTTCCAAGTGCATTTTTTTTATCTCGTCTTTGACTGAATAATACGTCGAACCGCTTTCCATAGTCCGAAAGGTGAAATAATATCGTCTTAATCAGAAAAAGATAGGTTATCAAATTTGAAGATTATAAAAGTCCCGTCAAAATGACATACGGATCGGCCATTGCCGTCCCACGGGGCGTTGAAATAAATAGATCATTATGTAGGCTTGTAATCGCAGTCAGCTTTGGATTAGAAAATTATAATAAATAATAAATGTTTTTATTTAACCCATCTCTGCCAGTTGTAATTGTATGTTTAATATATCGCAGAATATCTTTCGCAAAATTTCTTAACACTGTCTCTATCTGCCTTCGGTTCGAAAAAATGTCTACCCTTTGCTGCAAATCTTCCCTGTTCTCTAATAATTTTAAACAACAGGTGTTTTCTCAAAATCTGAAAAATACGTTCTTCTTTTATGAAAAATTTACTATAATTAAAATGCTATGTTGAGTTGAGTTGTAAAAGTTGGGCTCATTCACATATCGCAAAGCATTTTTTTTTATGTTTTTTTTTGTTGTATTTTGTCGAAAGTTATTTACCCGATCGGCAAACTTGGTGAACCAAGAAACGCGGAAAATCTCCGGAATTATATCTTTTATTTCAAGCGTTGTTTCGTTTATATACGGGATTTTTCAATTATAGACAAAAATCTAAAAGGCCTTGCACATTGTTACAATGTAAATTATTAGCTGTAAATCAAAAATTAGTGAAAAAAATCTTGAAACAGTATTATAAGCCGTATCAAGAGCTACAATTTTTGTATTTACGGTTTTCGTCTATCACATACGCTGTTCGAGATATTTGAAAAAATATGCGAAAATTTAGGTTTCGTGCAGAGTGCGTGAGATTTTTGAAAAAAAAAATCATTGGAAATCGCTATTCGAAAAACCCGTTTTTATTTTTTTCTGTTTCTCAGTGCTCTGTGTCACGGGTTTTATTTCAATAACTCTCGAGCCGTTTGAACTAGGTGGCTCAATTTTTGCTTCTTTTTTACCGTCCAGTAGGTGCATAAGATATTTAAAAATTGCCACAACGGGACATTGACGGCCATCTTTTTTGGACATTGCTATGAAACGCAATAAGTGTCCGAAAGTTGAAGCTATCGATTTCATTTTTGACACACATATGAAGCTTGGTTCCTGATGGAACTTATTGAAATTAGGGGGCTGGGGGGTCGGAAAGTATTAAAAAAAAAATAAAAATCGCGATTGCAATAGTCTAAGAAAAAATTATTTCTCGAAAACCGTTTACGAGACCAAAAAAATTCTGGAATCAGAAGACGCAAACTTTTGTTCTTGACAATTTTTGAAAAATATATAGGGTGCGCCGCAAATTCAAAAAAACTGAAAAATGGGTCCCCTATTATAGAAAATTCGTTATAACTGAAAGACTGTAAATAAGATTTCGTTTATATTGGGATATAGCCCGTATAGACAGCAAAATCTTTGGTATTTAAGGTATTCACCTATTGTACAGGGTGTTCCCGATATTCCGTGCTAAATACGAAATGTTTTAAGTGTCTTAAATTTGCAGATATCATCTTCAAATTTAGCCGAGAAGTAAAAGTCCGTGTAAACATTTAAACGGTAGAAATTGGGTGCAATCAAATTTTACCAAATATTTTTTAAAAAGTTTTTGATTTTTTTTTTGTAAAAAAATAAGAACTAAAAGTTCAGATTTTCACGAAATTATATATTATGACGTGACAATTGTTTCGATAACACCGTGTCTTTATCAAATGTCATTTGATAAATGGATTTTCATCAAGTAAAAGCCACCTCAGTTCAATTTTTTTTGTAATTTTGGCTTCCAGAAAACTATGTTTTCCTCTATAATCGTTCACCCGATCGGAAAAATTCTTTTACAGGAGACGCGGAAGATTCAGTGCAACAATCTGTATTTTAGACATTTTTTCGATTATATACAGGGTTTTCAAATTAAAGGGAAAAATTCAAAAGACATTAAAAATTGTTCTTTTACATAGTAAATTATTAGTCGCAAATCAAAAATCGTAAAAAATGTGGCTAATAGGTTCAAACAGTGTCATAGGCCGTATCAAGAGTTACAATTTTTGTATTTGAGGTTTTCGTCTATCACATACGCTGCTCGGGATATTTGAAAAAATCCATATTGAAATCGCTATTTGGGGGGTTGTCAAGACGCGACGACGTGAAAACTTATTTTCTCCAAAACCATGTACTATTTTCAAAAAATTCTTGGACCGGGAAATGTGGAAGATCCAGGGCTATAACCTCTATTTCTAACATTGTTGAATCATGTACAGGGTGTGTCGTTTATGGGCAAAAAATCTAAAACATCCTAAAAATTTCCGCTTTTCTGGGTAAACTATTGGCGATAAATGAAAAACCGTTAAAGATGGGATAATTTTATTGAACATTATCGAAACTGTGTCGAGAGAGAGTTTCAGGTTTCTTCAATTATACAGGGTGCGAGATATTGGAAAATATATCACTCGACAACGCTATTATTTGTGCAAATTTTAATATTTACCGATATTTGCTGTAACGTTGAAGTTCGACGAGATGTGAAGGACATTTTATACAGAAAGCATGCACAATTAAATTACATCGATTTTGCGAAAGTTTCATAGTGGTCAGGAGTACTATAGAAAACATTGCGTCCCTTTACCACACGAAACCGCGCGAAGCTCTTTCCTCTTTTATAATATGCTATTCGCTACGAACTTGCCCCGCCCAGCGAGGGTTTTTCGAAAGCAACCTTGTTAAACCTTTTTTGGAACAATAAAACTGGTCTCTTTAAAGGTTTCCCGTTTCTATTTCGTATTAACTGACAATTTTTCTACAATCCTTTTGTTCCTATAGTTTGCAAGTAGATTTTGCACCGACAATTTGCAATTTATGCTTTTCATTTGGCTCACCCAGACGTGTCGTATTTGCAATTCTTCGGCGACGACTTTCTGAGGCTGCTGCTGTTGCGCTACGTGTTCTGCGACGTGGTGTTGCACCTGCACAAGTCGTTCCGGGGGCGCCAGTACCGGCCCAGGTGCCAGCCAGCCTTGCCCGAAGCCGAGCTCCTCGAGCACCCGTCCCTCCAGCACCTGGTGCTCGATCTGGCCGCCCACCTCGAGGTCAAGGCGCACTTTTTGGACGGCCACGAGCTGGAATGATCGAGGTAAACCTTCTTCAACGCTCCTCCCCAAAGTCGTTTAATAAAAGAGTCGGGGCATAGGAAATGCTAGATGAGCTAGAACCAATAAAATTGACCAGTTTGCCTTGCCAAGGGATCAGAGGAAACGACAAGTCTATAGGATAGTCCTTTTTATAATATTCATAAAAACACGGATAACCTTGATCATTTTAATTAACTAGCAAACGAAAAAGCCATGGCTGATATTGCGATGTCAGACCAAAAAAAAGACTTCACTCTATATTTTGATTACACATTCTGTGGCCTAGCTCGGAACTGTGGTCTGTCATCAGCCATCGAAATACTAGGTTAATCGTTATTACCCGTTACATCTTCGCGCACTGTAAATTCGTTTTCGGATTTTTTCTCGAATTGTGTCGGAAATTATTGAATGTGGTTGCAAAAAAAAAAAGAAAAAAAGAATTCGCCCAAGGCGCAGCAGCATTTCGCCGCGTTCAAAGTTCTTGAGAAGATTTTGCGCATTCGAATGAGTTTTTTTATTGTTGCATACATTACATATCTACGCTTAACGCGTTGCTTTAAAAAGTGTATAATTACAAATAAGTAGATTAAAATTTAAGGTTATGCGGTTATGACGTCATCACTGCATTGTTTTTAGTCTATTTTGGATAATGCTGCGGTTTACGTATTTAGCGAATATCGAAATTTAAACCGTGGTCGCCAAATGACTGCTGTTGTACAGCGTTGCCAAATTGCAATTGAAAGAAATTCGTCTTATGGAAACCTAACATCCTGTTAATTTTCCCCTTTGAGTTTGAACGCATGAGTAGAAAATATAATGGGTCAAATTTCAAAAATGTTGGTTAGGCAGATAGATATGTTATCCTAACTAAAATTTAGCGGATAAAAAAAGACGAGTTTTTTTGGTGGTAGTGTTCTATTCAATTAGTGTAACAAAATAACAGGAATGGAAATGTTCCATACACTTTCCATTCCACTTGTTAACGCTTCAAAATTATCATTTCTCACAGTAGTATAAAAGATAAAAAAAAATGCTAAATGCGTAAACTGCAGCGATTACTTTATGTAATGTTTATATGTCGGGGGTTCGTAGGGTTCCTTCCTCATGGGCGGCACCAACCGGACCAACGGCCGATACGTCACGAACGCGGGACCATGAGGACGATTTAAACGATTCGATGGCGAATTTAATGTTGGTCGCGCTTCGAAACTTCACCGTTTTCGGATTATTCTAGGTACTCGATTCCGTTCACAATTCTCGACGTCGATTCGGTTCAATCGACACTTGTCCGGTTTCCGCTTTAAAAGCAACTCCCAGCAGATATCGTCGAAATCACACCCACACAGATACAAACACACACACACACACACACACACGTACACACACGCGCGCGCGCACCGTCGAAATGGCGTCCATCGCGGTCACAGATAGCAGAAGGCACGCGCAATGTGACGTCGTCACAGCTCAACCTAACCTAGTTGTTACCGAAGAATGAGAAAAAGAAACTTTTGAGGTGTATACCATGCTTCACACAAGAAAATTGGGATATTTAGACCATATAATGAGGAACCAAAAGTCTTTTGCCAAAGAAGACCTGAAAGTACCTCAGAACTTGAACTCAGAACGTCCCCAGAAGGGAGTCGCTAAGGTTCGGTCCAAAATTATTTCAATTAAAATTGCTTGGAGAAAGTCTATATAAGATTTAATGGATCCAACCATATTAGTGGATAAGGAGCTGGTTTTTCACCCACTAAATTGTGATGAACTGAAGATTTAAGGCGGTCTGAACATATTTTGAGAAAATACTGCCGTGAAGATGCCGCATACAAACGATATTGACGATCTCTTTGCGGCCACTAGGTTGTTGAATGCTGCAAGGTTATTTATTATTACATAAATGCAATGAATTGATAGTCGTAAGTAAAGAAAGGCGAGACACATTTTCAATTGCAATAAACTGGGTAGTACTCACGCAAACTCGATTTCGTACAAATAAACCAGTGGATATTTCACACAACGGAACCAAAAATATTTTTGAGTTACGCGGGTTATTCTGGCGGCTTTCCTTTAGTAGTTTGGAACTTGGAATGTAAAATTTTCGAAAACCTTTACGCCTGAAGTTTACGTTTTGATTTTACTATCTGTGACCGGAGACGCGTGAAAATGCGGCCGCAATTCCACCCTTAAATGTAAATAAAATCGCGGCGGCACTTATTTTTCGAGTCGAAATCTCCGCGGCATCATTTTAAGCGGTTATTTTCAAGTTCCTACGGGTCGATTGTCCCGAACTGTGTCGTTGTTTAACTGGTCCGTATTTTTGGTCGGTTTAGAATCACGCTTCACGATTTGACAGTGCAAAAGCACGGTATTAACGTGGATTTTTTGAAGTTAGTCATAAAATATTGACCTTTTTGTGCGATAATTTGCCCGCGGGGAACTAGAAGACAAACCTCGGGCCGTAGACGTTTCAGCAACCCCCCTCTAGTACTTTTTGGTTCTCCGAACCCGCTTCGTATATTGTAAATATATAAGAGTAATTTTGAGAATTTTCTAAATAAATTCCCGCCGAATTCAAATGGGTAAGAATAGCAGCGAGCGTTGTGTAATTCTAGATTTTGATGGCGCAAGGGTTCAAATTAAATGAGATAACTCTCGAAATCTAGAATAATTGACAATGTGGCCGGCGACCTCATCGCAGCGCGGGGCGCATATTGTAGTAAAGTCTGTAAATTTTCAAAGGATCATTTTATAACATATTTAGAAATAAATGTTAATGACAATTAAAGCAGTTATTACTTAGTGTCTTTGGGTTTGGGCGAGTGGCCCAGAGACCTGAAAATTATTTGACTAAATTAAGAATGTTGCGGCCAGTTGGGCAACAAGAGATATATTCTTCCATCATCCCACCATATAATTTACGGAAGCAATGAACAGAAAAAAACCAAGCAAAACTTTGGTAAAAATTTATTTGAAAGGGCGAGAATTACAATTTATAAATAAATCAACAATAAATTCATAAATAAATCATTTCTCTTTTTAAACAAAGAAAATAGCGAAACTAGGCGCGTTTCTCCAAATCGACGTTTTCTAGGCACCTCCTGATCTCCGTGTCCTTGTCCCCCTGTAACCTCCGCAGCACGGTCTCCAAAGCCATTCGGTGATCATTGGCAGGGTCCATAAAGTACTCTGGAAAATACGTTTTCATCGTTGAATTTCGAGTCGGTATTGCTCTCACCTTCCGTCAGTATCCTCTCCACCAAACACTTGGCCACGACGAGTCTCACGTTTGCCACCGGGTCCCAGCTCAGGTCCAGCAGGTGAGGCAACACCTCGGAAGCGAACTCCTGCGGAGGTAAGGCGTGTTGCGCGAGGAGTCGCGAGCATAACAACCCGAACGTCTGACGCGCCTTCCATTTCTTCGAATGTGCGAACCGTTCCGCAGTCATGGCCAGGTAATAAGACTTTAGGCCTTTCTTCGAACCTATTCTCTTCACTATCTCGGTCGCCTGCAAGTGTCGATTTGTCATTAATGTGTCTTTCGCGACCCGTGAGATGAGTCAAGAAATGTCCTCAACAAACTCAGATTAATGCACAGACTTTCTTCAATTATATAATCAGAAGACCGTCGTTGTTATCATCATTGTTATGTTAATGTATGTAGGTTAATATATGAGCCGTTTATTTTGAAAGTGGCTTAAGTCCATTTTCATCTTTTATCAAGTTGGCACTTGTGATATTTATGCTGAACTGTCAAAAAAATAAATCGATATTGCACATTTGAAAATTTTACATCACGTACATTTTCAAAACAATATAAATAGTGAAAATCCCAATTTTAGAACACAAAAGTGGTACTTTATTCAGAAAATTCGAAAAATTAAACGGAATTCAGGGAAAACATACGATACACAATCGGGAAAAATTATTCCTGCCAAAGTTTTTCAAAATGAAGATTGCCGAAAAGACTGCTTGAAAAATTTCAATGAAAAGAAAGGAAACGTATTTTCGAAATGTTTCGGAATTTAGGAGATTTTAATAAGCAAAATATATTGTTATACGAAGCGACCGGTTGTAAGAAGACGTCAGGGAAACGGAAAAGGTTCATAGAGATTTACGTATTAATTAAATTCTAAAACAGGCAAAGTTGATGTTTGTAAAAAAATCTTTTTAGATACTTTTCAAATAAGCGAAGGACGATTGAAACGTGTATTAAAATCTAAAAAAGTTGGCAACGATTTACGTGGGCGTTTGCATGGATAGTCGAGAAAAATATGTATTCAAGCAAATATGATTGTCAAAACCATATTAATAATTTGAACTGACTATAAAAAAATGTTTAATTTTTATGAGCTTCACTGTAACAAAATGAATGGCCTTACAGAAAATTTTTCAAAAATGATTTTAATCTACATTTCCACCAACCGAGCAAAGACACATGTCAAAGGTATGATCCATTAAACATTAAAGTCAAAGCATATGAAAACCATGAAGAACAGAAAAAACTTATGGAAGGTCATGATATTCATTTGAAGCCAGCAGAATCAGCTAGAAATGCGTTAAAACAAGATCAAGAGAGAGTATCAAGTAATCCATCTCATTATTTTCATTCGATTTGCATTCCCAAAGAGAAATACTTCAGTAGCTTATTATAAATCTAACATGTATATTTCAAATTTAGGAATACACATATTTCAACAACGATAATGTACGCTTGGTATGAAACAAAAGACACTTAAAAACCCTGAAAGGCAAAAACACATCATTGCATTTAGTGACATGTGTGGAGGACAAAACAGAATTAACAAAATACCTTTAATGTGGTTAAAAATTCTATCGACGCCGAAATGATGTGGAAATCATAGACCACAAAATTTTAATATCGGGGCATTCATTTTTACCTATCGACAGAGATTTTGGCGTTATAGAAATGTCGTTAAAAAGATAATTTTATATCAAAAGACTCTTGGAAGACGCAGTTTAAAATACCAACGGAGAAAAAATAAACTAGCTTCAAATATGCTGGGTGCGATTTTTAAGAAACGAACCATATAAAATTTTATACAAAACAACCATGAATTTGGGAATATTGGTATCATTATATAAAAGTACAAGAAGCACCATATCAATAAAATACAGACACATGATGGGGTATATGTATACCTCCGGAACACTGTAACTACTTCAGATCACTCCCGCTTACTGAGAATGTTAACGAATAACTTGTTACTAAACTTATTTCTAGTATCTACAAATATAATTTAAAGGTCTTTTTTTCCTACTTTTTAAGCTATTGTAACAAAACAAATTTTTATTTTGAAAGTGACCTAAGTCCTTTTAAGGTAAGCAACGTCCTATTATACACTTAATAATAGCGACTTTTTAATTGAATGTATAAAATTAAATCCCTTAAATGCGATTTACAACAGCAAGTCAACCATATATCTTACGTACATTTTTAATTTTGTAAAAACGCAAAACCTTAAGTATTTCTAATTAAAGATAAATGGACTTGAGTCTTTTTCAAAATGCCCATATTACACATTATCACGAAAAAGATATGAAAGTCGACTTGAATGAAGATGATTTAAAAACTGCTCGGACGAACATTGGCTTTACTTCTAATAGTGAATTAAAGCTAGAATGACTTGAAAACTGCAGATAGCGGAGAAACATACAAACTTTTAGCACATGTTTGGAACTCAAGTCAAACTCTATCAGCTGCCGATAAAGAACTTGGCAGTGAAGATTTGGAATTGTCTTGAAGCTATCTCTGTCATTGAGCGGGCGGCAACTACTAATACCATATTTGAAGTAACCGTCGCAAAAAGACTGACAGAAGATTATTAATATCCACATTAAATTGGAAAAGGAAGAAATAACACATTTATAAAATGATATTAAACCTTTCTGCCTACATTCATTTTTTGATAATGCGAACTCTATGACTTTTAATTAATTTAAATAATCTCGAGTCTACTGTAGTTCTATAGTGACGTGAACGGCCATTTTCGTTTGGCAACTATCGAACTTTGGAATTTAAAGGACATGACTGTTTCAGTTTTATGTGATACTTAATTTTTGGGAACCGTTTAACACAGAGTTGCCGATTATTTTTCAATACTAAAATACTTAAATTGGAATTATATCAATGAAAATTAAATGGTACCTCCTATAACTGATTTATAGAACACCCGCGTTTTATGACACTTGAATGACAATTTTTGAATAAGCAGTGCACACATTTTCACATTAGTACCTACTGCGCCCAGTTCCGATAATCTGACTTTTTGAATAGTATGAAAATGGCGGGTGAGAACACCTTTGGATGGCGGGGTCGTTCAGTCAGCAGAACCACATATTTAATGAAGTAGTAATAATTTCAATGAAAATTAAAACATAACCTATAAAAAAGTTTATACTTTCATTATCAATTTTGATGAGAACGAAATACTCAATGTTGCCAAAACTACAAACCACACTTGACTCGACGATTATTGGATGATTGAAAAATATAAAATAAAATTTTGTATTGTATGGGTCTCAGTCGAAGTTTGGAACCTAAACGGCATGGGTGTTTTTAAATTCTTAAATTGCAATATCAATGAAAATAAACGATTCTTCTTAAGACAGAGAGAAAGACACTCTTGAACATCTACACCCCTTCACGTCATCAAAACTCGCGTTTTTGTCACAATATCTGGGGACTGGCAAAGGTAAAAAGGTCCAAATACAAAATATCAGTTAAAATGGCGGATCGTCGTTGCCCATTTTCGAACGATAACGAGAGAGCCACGCCCCTATTTCTATCGGGCTCACACTCACCAACGACAAAGTGGCCCGCCTGACGGCGGCGACGTTATCAAAGAGGAGGGCGTGGGAGCACATCCCCGCGTGTTTCACCACGTCCTGCGGGCGAAACAGGTCCAACGCGTCGGTGAGCTGTTCGGCGAGGATCTCCCTGAATCGCCAATTGCACGCGTTCTCGACCGCGAGGAAATCGGCCAATTTGGGCAATAGGTAGACGCGTTTCGCCACGCTGACGCGTCGCAGGAACGCCGACAGGTGTTTTAGGATTCCGACGCGCACCTCGTCCAAATCGATCAAGAACCCCTCGAACAGCGATACGAGGTGTTCCGACGAACCTTCGACGCCTATCACGTCGGCGACGATGTGCAGACTGCTCGCCACCGCACGTCGCACCTTGTACTGCATGTTGCTAGACAGCAGGATGAGCGTGTCGTGAAGCAGGGGGTAGTTTTCGCGACCGAGGGTCAACGCGACGGCCGGGAACGAATACGCGCAGTAGTACGACATGTCGCAGTCGACCTCGGTCGCGGTCCTCGACTGACACATCGACACATAATAGTCCACCAGGTCCTGGGGCACGATATCTTGTCGCGCCTTATTTACATCTGCGACAGAAAAGGGTCGTTATGGAACGGCGTACTCGTGGAACCCTCCCACGCGTTTGGGCAATGGGCAAATTCATAGTCTGCCTTATACAACATTTTCGTCATCTGCGTGATCGTTTTGCATGTTCTAATCACATGATATAAAATAAATCGATTTTTCTCCACCCCGGCATAGAGTCGTTCGAGATAAAGTGTGTTACTAAAATGACATATAATCTAATATTAACAATAACAAGATGTATAATCGACATTTTTTTGTGACGGTTTATATGTAACATACTACGAGGTGAGCTCAAAAAGTAAGATGACTTTCAAGTTTTATCAAAAAATATTTGTTCATTTTTCAAAACTAATTTAGTGTTCCCCCCAGCAAAACACACTGATATAATACACTTGTGCTAACGTTTTTTCAAATCCTCGAAGAACTCGTCAATCGCTCCAAACCACCACCTTCCATGGGTTTTTAAAGTCGCAGGGTAGGAGGTGGGCGTATCCGATGAATATGGTGGATGAGACGTGATTGCTGTTTTTTTGTTTTTGGTCAAAAAGACAAAAAAAAACGCAGCGAACGAAGAGTGAGCAGGCGCACTATCGTTATGCACAATTTTCTGACATTTTCTTCGTATTGTTTCTTGCAAACAGCGCATAATTCCATGGCAATACTCTTTACTGATGTACTACGCCACAATCATCAAAGAAAACAGTAAGCAAAACCTTGACGAACATGACGTGCTTTTTTCGGTCTTGGCGATTCTGGGTTCGTCCAATGGCTTGGTTTCGAAGTCACAACCATATACCCACGATTCGTCGCCATTGATAACCTTTTTGAGCATATCAGGATCATCATTGACATCGTTTAACAGCTATTGAGCGATGCACAATGGAACAAATTTTACTGCTACACGTTTCATGCAGAAAACTTTTGAAAAAATACATAATAGATGTCTTCTTCGACGCATCAGGCGTCTTCTCGGTCATCTTGGAACAGCTTATGCACCATATGCATAAGCATATACATTTCAAGTATTTCGAGTCACTGCATTACATTTTTTAATACAAAATTTTATGCAAATTGTTTCATTTTTTTTTATGGCAGAAAATCGCCAAGCACACAAAACATATGTTCCTAACACGTCCTCCAACATAATAAAAAATCGATCGAATGTACAAAAGTCACCACCTTACTTTTTGAACACACCACGTATACATGCAGGAAAACGTTGGCAATATGATGACGATAAAAAAAATTGGAAAAATAAAATATAGTGCTGCACTTATTCATTCGTTTAAATACAAAATAAAATATGTATGATGTCATTATTTAATTGTATTTTTGTTTTACCTTGGGTGTTTTTATTTGAATTACACTGTAATAAAATAAATAAAAAAATAAAATAAAAAGGTTATTATTAGTGCCGGGGCTAGATTTTTAATGGTTCCATGTATTTTAAAATAAAACACATCCTTTTTCCATCACACTAATGATTTTTTGTTTTGAAACACCCTGTACATACATACTTCGACGCTTTATCTGTAGCGTTTGCAATGGAATGGGCCACTGCATTGAATTACATAAACAAAAAGTAATGCAAAATTGTCAAAATTTATAAATTACGGTCAAAACATTCACTGTTGTGCGCGTGTTCGTGTGTTTTTTTTTTCACAGTAAACTGGCTACTTACTATTAACAACGCTACTACTATCACAATTTGAATCACTTGAGGGCGGGGCGTTCGACACGGCTCGCGACGAATCGCCTCCTATCGGGGGCTGCAACCAATGTAAAAAAAAAAATCGTTACAATCTATTCCGAATTAATGGCGGCGCCGCATCGTAAGCTGAACAAACACAACTCAGAATGACGTTAGGAACTGCTGCTTCAGTTTGTTTTCAGAAGACCGTCGTCAATGTTCATCACGATTTTTACAACCAACAACACGCGGCATTAGTCGCTACTATGGAATGCTAAAGCGAGTGATTTCGAAAATATTCGCCGCCAGAGGCGTTTTGAACACGGTTTCTGTCAAAGTTTTTGGTTAGTTTTAGCCGTTCCTTGCAAAAAAAAAACGGCAAGAGGCTGCGAGGGAGGGGACCTCCGTGTATGCTTACTTACATCGGTGCCGGTGCCAAAAGCAATCGTCCCGACTAAATCCCAAGAAAAAAAAAAACAAATAATAAATCAAACGCAACCGTCGCACAGCAGTCGATTTACCAAATTTAGGAACAAATAAACTAAATATTAATGCATTTTCTTTTAAAATGTTCATATTTTTCAAATAAGTTTTTTGTCGAACGCGTTTAAAAATACTTAATTTTGAAACATTATTAATTCCTAAAAACAATAAAGTGACTACTACAGAGGCGTCGGACCGAATACAACCCCCGAAAAAAACACACACATAAAACGCCTACCTGGCTAACAGTCGGCGTCGAATTTTCCTGCGGCGCTGCGACGGCTTCCTGCTGCAGGTGGTCCTTCGCCAGGTCCACGAATCCCGGACTTATGTACCAATAGTTATATTCGGTAAAATCATCCAAAGGCCATGAACATTCGCTCGGACTATTTACCTGTTTCGTTTCCGCCTCCGTAACCGCCGCCGCCGCCCTGAGGTCGTCGCCGCCTGGTTCGGTCGGGGGCGTGCCGATTTGTTCGCCGTCGGGACGACCTGAGAACACAGCTCGAATATGATCGCCCCAATCAAGAACATTTTTAAACGGACTTTTATCTCCTATGAGAAACAAGTCAGAATTTCTGAATTAAATCAGAATGTCTGAGAAACAAGGCCGAATTAGTGTTAAATACGTCAGAATTTCTGAATTAAATCAGAATTACTGAAAAACAAATTTTAATTTCTGAAAAACATGTCAGAATTTCTGAATAAATTCAGAATGTCTAAGAAACAAGTCCCAATTTCTGTTAAATATGTCAGAATTGCTGAAATAATTCAGAATTATAACATATCAGAATTTCTGAATTAAATTAGAATTACGCAAAAACAAATCTTAATTTCTGATAAACATGTGAGAATTTCTGGATTTAAATCAGAATATCTGAGAAACAAGTCCGGATTTCTGATAAACATGTCAGAATTTCTGAATTCAAATCAGAATGTCTGAGAAAAAAGTCCGAATTACATCAGAATTACTGAGAAACAAATATGAATTTCTGAGAGCCACGTTAGAATATAGGATTTAAATCAGATTTTTTGTAAAACCGTTCAGGATTTTTGACATAAATCAGAAACATGTCAAAGTTTCTGAGAGACATCGGAATTTCTGAATTAAATCACATTATCTGAAAATCAAGTCTGAATATTTGACTAAAGTTAGAATTTCTAAATAAAATGAGGGCCGAAAATTTTCGGGAAACACGTCAGAAGTTCTCAATTAGAACAGAATTTCTGAAAAACAGAAATCAGAATCAGAATGTACAAATTAAATTAGAATTTCTCAAAAACAAGTTTGAATTTCTAAAAAATATGTCTGTATGCCTGAGAAACAAGTCTAAATTAAATCAGAATTTCTCGTCGGAATTCCTGAACTAAGTCAGAATTTCTGAAAAACAAACCTGAATTTTCGACTGAAGTCAGAATTTTTTAATTAAATCGGAATTTTTGACAAAGAAACCTGTATTTCTAACATAAGTAAGAATCTCTTAAATGAGTATGTCTGAGAAATATTTGAATTTCTAACTTAGGTCGAAATTTGGGGAATTTCTGACCTAAATGAGAATTTCTGTAAAACAATTAAGTATTTCTGACTTTAATCTGAATTTCCTAAAAATAATTCAGGATTTCTGATATAAGTCTGAGAGTTTGAGAGAAAAAAGTAAGAATTTCCGAGAAACGCGCATTGCAATGAACAATTTCAGAGAAACGCGCAAAACTTGATGAGGAGCAAGAAGTCTGAATTTCTGTGAAAGAAGTCAGAATTTTTGAAATAAGTCTCGGCTAAGCAACATTGCGAATCAAAACATCAGACTTTTATCATAAAGAATCGACAATCTTTAAACTGGGATACTACACACTAGACTGTTTTTTATTTTAAATTATTGACAAAACTTTCATAAAATATAATAAAAAACATTGGCACGAATATAGATGGATAAATAGATCGTTAGATATATGGAATTATATTTTTCGGAAAGAATGTTCAATTTTTCATAGAAATGGCATCAAACTTTGTAAGTGAGTTGACTTAATTCAAAAGTTTTTTTTACAAGTATTTAAAAGCCAAAAACGTAGGGAAACGATAAAAAAACCTATATATAAATTTAAAAAAATAAATGTTGAGATTTGATATTTTGGCAAATTAATACAACGTATCCCGTATGATGTTTCGATACATTTAGCCTTATACCAAAAATTCAAACTTGATGCTCCTAATTAAACCAAACAGGTGTAAGCTTTCAGGACTTTTGTAACAACCTAATTTTCCTTATATTATTTTTTAATACAATATTTTTAGTTTTAGCACGTGTTATTAGGTTATAGTCCTACAACCTTAGAGAAGAAACAGGAAACATTATTTTGACTTCTGACTTATGTCGCGAATTCCGATTTGTTTTTTAAAAATTCTGAAATTATATCCCAAATCCTGAATTTTGTGACAGAAATTCCGATTTAGGTCAGAAATCCTGAATAGTTTCTCAAAACTTTTGACATGTTTCTCAGAAATCAAGACTTTCTTCTCAAAAATACTGTCTCAATTCGGAAATTCAGACGTTTCTCAGAAATTCTGACATAATTCCCGAAAATTCAGACTTGCGACCGAAGCCACGCAAACGGGCGTACCTCGTAAGGGCGCTTCGCGTCCTTCGACGACGCGATGGTACCGGACATCGGCATCGGCGTCATCGTCGCCGTCGGCGTTGTCGTCGATACAAAACGCGATCCGGTCTCGGGACGCTGCCATCGAATTGTACGAAAATTGTTCGAGGCCCCCTTTTTGCCTGAAATTTTTCGTTAATATTTATTTTCGCTTTCGCGCAAAAGGTTTTCCGCGCTTACTTCCACCGAACTTACACCGAATTATTAGTATTATACAGAGTGCTTTATACTTTGTAGCCCACAGAATATATGACGGCTGTTTAACACAACAAAAATCAAAGCTTTATGGTTTTATCGTTACACTGAGCGAGCGAAAAAAAAGTATGTTTTTTCTTTGTTAGCATTACTAACAAATATGAGACATACGTCGAAAAGAGAACTTTCTTAGTGTTGTTGAAGAAGCTACTTTGGCAAAGGAAAATATCAATGTTGGCTGGTTGTTCAGCGAAATATGAAATTTGAACAGCCAATTTAATTTTTTTTTAGAAACTACGGATCGGAACAAAAAAATATGCTGTTTGAACTTAACATGTTTTAATACGAGTTTAAATTGATTAAAATTTATTTCTGCCTTTTAGGTTTGGCATAGTAAAATAGCTGCACGAGTCAAATTAACTTATTTTTCTTATTACCAAAAACCATTAGCAATTCAGCACTTATTTTTTAATAGTGGGCATGACCCCCTCTTGCCCTAATAACATCTCTTACTCGATTGGGCATAGATTTAAACAAGTTCGCTGTTTCTTATGGAATGTTAAGCCACTCTTCCTCTACTGCAACAATAAACTCTTTGGTACAAAATTTAGCTCGAGTTGTCCGTTTTAGCTCATCCCATAAATGTTCGATCGGATTGAGGTCGGGATTGCATGCTGCCCACTCCATAACTCGAAAACCGACCTCTGTAATGTGATCTTGCACGATTCTTCTCCAACGTAGTCGTCATATGGTACGAAGTGATCTGATAAAATATCCTCGATGTACCTAGTAGTGCCTGTTAAACCTGCCGCCGCCCCAACGGATGAAAACAGGTTCGGATCGTGCGCCCATAGGAATTGCACTCCATATCATGCAGGAACCACCAACCTAAGGGCTCCGCTTTTCATTGCAGCATTCTGCAAATTGCTCTTTTTGTCGGTTACTACCAATAAGGCATACTTTGGACTCATTTGAGAACAGAACAGACCCTCAAGTCCAATTCAGATGATCCCGTGCAAAGCGATGAGCTGGAGTGAGTTTTGGACCAATTGCAGTTGTTTTTGGGGTCCTTCAGTATTTTTCTCAGTGCCCACTGACTGATAGCCACTCTTAGAACTTCATGGAGCTATGGAGATTTTCACGAAATCATATATATTCATATGACAATTATTGTGTCGACAACACCGTGTTTTTATCTAAATGTAATATTTACAAACTACCTGCTACTATGTATACCGAAAAATGAAAAAACCTTAATTCACGTTGTGAGAATTTAAGTTTAATAGTGGAGAGGTATTTAAATCTAATTGATCGTTAAGGAATACATTTGAATATCTCATTTTGTTAATCTCCATGGCTTCCGATAAATTTAATTTTCTACTTTTTGTGGCTGTATGTAAAATATCAAAATTTTCATCAAAAATATGTTTTTCTGTGTTTAAGTGTGTAGAATAATTAGAATCTAGACTATTGTTTTTAAATCCTCTTTTATGTTCGTGAATGCGTTTCTTGAAAGATCTACCTGTTTGTCCAATATTAATTTTGGGACAAAATCCGCATTTCAACCTGTAGACACCTGATTTTTGAGATTTTGGATATTTTGTTTTCTTGATTTTTAAAAATTTTCCTATTGTGTTGTTAGTTCTGAAAGCTATTTTTAAACCACATTTTAACAAATGTTTTGAAAGTTTTTGCAGCCATTGTGTATGTGCATAAAGGTGATTTTAGCTGTTATGTATATGACTGTGTCTGTGTGTGAAGGTATACGGTAAATGGAAAAATCAAATTTGTTATGCGTTTTCGTAGTAATTAAGTATAAAAAATTAATAGAGTCACCCTGTTCAATCTCGATAGTGAATTTTACATGATTATGTAATGAGTTGATGTAATTTAAAAAAGAATTCATTTGTCTGTCCGTTCCAACAAAGCAAGCAAAGACATCATCCACGTATCTATAGCCCCATAGAAAACTTTTACTTAAAGGATGTTCTAGTATGATGTTTGCAAAATTACCCATAAATATCTCGGCTAACAAAGGACTAAGTGGGATTCACATAATTAAGCCTTCCTTAGAGATTTAAATCTGTCCATTAAATTCAAAATAATTTTGATCTAAAGATACTATTAAGCAATCTAATAATCTTGTTTCACCAATGGGTTAACCTGTTAACGAGTTAGGGTACAATCTACTAAATTAATTACATCCATAAATACCTCCCTCTCCTTTCTTGAACTTAAATTCTCACAACATTAATTAAGGTTTCAATGTCATTTTCCGGTATATATAGTATCAGGTAGTTTGTAAATATTACATTTGATAAAGACACGGTGTTGTCGAATTAATCGTTATTTAAAAAATATATAATTTCGTGAAAATCCGAACTTTTAATTCTTATTTATTTTGATAAATGGATTTTCAACAATTCAATTTTTAAAAACTACTGCTGGTTATAACTAGTGCACCAACACGTTTCATTTGTTTAACCGTAGCTACGCATATTAAAGATCAGTACTCTTGACAAATTTAAACTCATACTAAAGCATATTAAATTGTCTTCCAAATAGCATGTTTAATTTACGGCGGTCCGATTTCTATTTGCATTTAGGAAGCCCAAAAGCCTTGAGGTTAGGATTCGATACTATCGTGTCCATTTCGCGAAAAAGGGCACTCACGTGAACTCGCATCCGTCGCACAGATTGACCAGGACCGCCTCCCCTGACGAGCTGGTCCCGATCCTGGTGAGGGGGGGCGTGGCGAACGACGCTATAAAAGGGCCGAGCATTTGGAACGCGGACATGCGCACCCAGCGGCACTCGTCCTGCAGCAGTTTGACGAAGGCGGGGGCGAGGAGCTCGCGTCGCAATGCCGCGTCGCACATCAGCGACACGAACATCATCACTTCCGCGCAGGACTTGCGCACGTCCCGTATTTCGTCGACGCACATGCCCAAGTAACACGGCAGCTGCAAGATGGCGTTCCTTTTATCGCCGCCCGTTTGAAATTTAGTCGGGACCGCGACGCGGTGAGCCCGTACATAGGCCAAAATACAAAAATTTCCTCCCTGATCTTCAAACAAACAACTACAGCACAGGGTTATTAGTCACATTCGTCACTAATCGTAAATTTTTTTTTCCCCAATTTCAAAAACAGATTCAGCAGCCGTTTTTGAGGCATTTCAGTTTAAAAATAATTTGATTTCTAGACAATTGTTTAAGAATTTTAACTTACTTTTGGCAACTAATCAAAGGTTAAGGATCTGCAAACGTAAGTCAAGATCTTTCGAATTGGTTATACTGCGCAAGAAAAAACGCCAAATGATAAAGTTTTATATTATTCAAACAATAAAACTATCAATCATTAATGCTAAACATATTCCACATAACCTCCATCATTTTCTATTATACGAGGTGATATCAGGGTTTTCGGCGTTTGGATCTTGTAAAACGATATTAAGTCTTTCCCTTATCACCCGCAAACTCTCTGACCTATTATAATAAATACGAGCAGATAAGATAAAAATAGATACAATATCTGGATAAAAATGGTGATACTCTGGCATTCTAACAGTCCAGATCTTACTACACTTGACACTTTTTTAGGGGGACTTCTAATATCGAGAGTATATAGAAAAACGTCGGCAGAAATTCTGGAAATACAAAACAGAATACGAAAAAAAGTTGAATCCCTAAATGAAGAACCAAAACTTCTTAGAAGGTGTATCGAAAACCTACACAAACCTGTTTTTTTGTAAGTAGTAGGTAAGTAATTTGTTGTTAATAAATTAAGATATATTTAACCGGAAATATAATAATTCCCAATATTACCAAATAGAAAATTATACAACAAAAACTCTTTTTTATATTTAAAAAAAAACAACAACTAATTCAGTTTTCATTGATATACAATTGATTATTTTTTATCTATTTAATTAAAGAATATATGAGATGTTTCGTTTCGTCTCGAATGTTCCAGACAAATCAAATTCTGACTAGACTTTTCTTTGCTGTGATGGTTCACGGTGTCAACCCCAATTTCACACTATACAAGTAAAAACAAATATGTACTTTATTCTTTTTGAGCAAAAAACTTGTTATTTTGGTTTATTTTTTCTCAACCTTCCATTGTAATTCTTTTTTACAATGTTGAATATCATCGTCGCTTTAGTTATCAGAGCTTTGAGGATCATTTGGCTGTAAAATTTCAGTAATAATATGTTAATAACTCCGTTGTTATCAAATTGTCACCCACAGTTGGGAAGCTATCCAGCTCAGGAAGATACATTTCAATGTTGGTTAGATCTTAGCCGGTATTGCATAGCCAATTACTTAGGGGAACCTTCCAGTCATTATTATTTTTGTACTTCTCGAACCACTAAACCAGAGGTAAGTCATCATCTGAATCAAACTCATCTTCCGATCTAATCAGACCTGCATGTCGAAAGAATTTTGAAATAGTGGTTAAAGTAGCATCATTCCAACATTGTGCAAGTAATTTTATGGAGTCGAGGATAGTGATATCGAAAAGTTCCTCATTTGCAAATGACCGGATCAAACAATACGAAAAATATCTGCGGTAATATGTCTTAAGGCATTTTATTATGCCCTGATCCATCGGTTGGACGACTGAGGTGCTATTTGGAGGCAGAAACTCTAATCTGATAGTTGAAAGGATTAGAATTTTTCATGAGCTGCACAATCGTCAACCAAAAGCAATAGTTTTCTATTCCGACAGTTTTCGTTTTTCATCCGAATCCTTTAAATAATTATAAAAAAATGCTGAAATCCACGCTCGCTGGTTTGCATCTCGGTCGTTCGTATTTACCATAACCAGAAGTTTGCATTTTTCGCTTCAGTGTAGCTCAACACTTTCCCCCCAAAATTTAAGGGAGTCATCTTGTAAAATAGCCCAGTCTCGTCACTATTGAAAATATCCTCTGGGCTGTAATTTTGTGCAATACTATGGCACTTATCCTAACTAACCAGTTCAGAACAGCTGTAGAACTAAAATCCTAACCCTGTAATCCGCCGGCTAATTCTTCGGCTTTCGATTTCAGAACTGGACCACTTATTGCAATATTTTAGGACCTTCGAACTTGAAACCATCGAAAAAAGGGCTTTATCTACATCTGAACGTAGAGGACTGCGATTAAAGAAACATCGTTGTTTTTGACAATTTCTTTGGTCTGCCAATTTGCGGCTTACTCTATCTTTTCCTTTACAGTTAAAGTCCGAAAGTTGCTTTAATTGGGGAGAAAAGAAAAGTGATATGGGACGTCGATACGGACTTACACCGTCGACTGTATCCACGATTTGGAAGTGCAAAGAAAAAATCATTCAGGCCGCAGGCAGTTCTAGTAAAAAACTAAGAAAGGCAAAATTTGAAGATATAGATCGGGCAACGTTGCGGAGGTTCCAACAGCAACGTCTTAAAAAGTTTGCTGAACAGCTTGCCATTATCGATTTCAAGGCTTCGGAAGGATGATTGGGGAAGTTCAAACAGAGACATGGTATAAATTATGAACAGCTAAGTGGCGAAGCCCGTGACGTCGACAGAAAAGTCACTTATGATTGGCTGGAGAAGACGTGGCCAAAACTAGCAGAAAAGTACCACCCTTCTGACATTTTTAATGCTAACGAAACTGGTATTTTTTACAAAATGACGCCAGACAAAACTCTTAAATTTAGAAGTCATAAGTGTGTGGGTGGAAAACTTTCTAAAGAACGTATAACAGTATTAGTAGCTGCCAATATGAGTGGGATAGAAAAAAAAAGCTAGTCATTATTGGAATATGAACTAACCCGCGATGTTTTAAAAACATCAAGCATTTGCCGGTCACTTACAAGGAAAACAAGTCTGCATGACTGACATCGCAAATTTTTGAAGAGAAGATACGGAGATGGGATGCAGAATTAAAAGGGAGGAAAATATTTCCTCTTTTAGATAACTGCCCTTCACATCCTCATATTCCAATTCTACGGAATATTGAATTGGCATTTCTTCCAGCCAAAACAAGTGTATTACAGTCGTTGGACCAGAGCATAATAAAAAGTCTTAAGAGTCGATACAGGAAAAACATTTTAATTTTAACAAACAATTCAAATCGTCATGCAGGACTTATTACCGAGAGAGACAGAATGCGAACAGGATTTGAAATATAATCAGCCACTAAGCGAGTGGATAAAGCAGTTTCAAACAACAAATACGTTTACAAGTGGAGGTGCAAGATCAGTATTTACCTACAACAGCAGACTTGACAGGAAGTTTTATTACAAGCAAGAAAGGGTGAGGAAGAGGAACAAGAAGATGAAGAAGTTGATCTGGGACCACCATCAACCATTCAACAAGCCCTATATTCAGTTAAGCTCTGGGGAAGATAATTCTAAATGTTTATATTTATATAAAAAATATTTATATAAAATGTTCCTAAATATTGCAGAACACATATGCATATTGTGCCTATAAATAAGTCTTTATAACGAAAAGAAAGCAGTCCCTTCAATTTCGCTATATAGTTTCGACTGTATATGGTACGCAATATCCGATGAAAAATCAAGAGTATTTTGACTGGACCAGTAAAATACGTACGTAATATTCGGAAATACTTTATCGACGGAGTTTACTGTATTTGTTTTTTTTTTTTAGGTTAATCTAAGCGAATTTTGGCCGGCGAGTAAAGGTTCACCGCCGCCGAGGCGGCTTGATACCGACCACCATCTTTTCGAAGGCCTCTCTGCCGACGACGGTGCACAAGGTACCGATGCGTGAAGCGAGGATCTTCCTGATGTAGAACATGGAGCCGCAGCACAACTCGACGAATCGCGGGAGGAAGATCCGCTCGGTTATGTCTCGCCCCAACAGGGTCGCCAGACGGATCATCAGCTGCAACACAGAACAGGGCTCGTTGGTGAGGGTGGGGCAGCGAAAACAGAACAATACGGAAAAGTTTGTCAATGAATCTAAAAATGTTGCATTCTCTCTCGCAGGCGTAAATAGCTTTAGACTTTAGCTCTTTACAATTACCAAGAGCAGATTGATGAGGTGAATAACATTACATACTTGAATGTCATAGTTGACGCAAACTTAAAAGTAGTCCAATCACAAGAAGACTTGTCTACACAACTGTATAAATAAAAAATCTCTTGTATATATCTATAAAACAATGGCCGAGTCCGAGTTGTATGTACCCTGTGTTCAATTCATCTTGATAACATTTTAACTGGATGTAACACTTCTTTGTTTTTACGAGATATGAAGGTAGCGGCCAAGTGAAGCATAAAACAAAATACTAACAATTTTCTGTCATATAAGCCAACGTGACACATTTTTTTAATGAACCACCTTGTATATGTAACACACTTTATATTTTAGTCCACTCGTTTTTGACAAATCGGCAAAACTAGGAAATTTTTATATAATCTCAAAGAACGCCGTGACTGACTGCAACACAATAATTGTTCACAAATTAAAATAAAACAAAAACACTAAAAATGACAAGTCACACTAAAGTCAAAAAATCTAAATACTGATCTATATGACCACCATTTTCCAGAACACATTTCTCTAATTGTATGATGCCTTGCTTTTAGTAACGTTTCCGGATTGTCTCTTAACTGTTGGATTGCGTCTGAAATCCTCTGCCGAAGTTCCACGGCATTATTACAGGGAGTTTTGCGCACGTGATTTTTACATGTCATCAAAAGAAAAAATCCATTATATATAAGGGGACAGTTCTATTTGGTGCTGCTCTTGGAGTTGCAAATTATGATCTCCAGTTAAATTTTGATCTATAAATATCGGACCCAAAATATGCCCGTCTATGACGCCACATCGTACATTAATTGCTTGGGACCCCTGGGTTTTTATTTGATGTAGCTTTCTAGGATTATTTAAAGACCAATACCGCGTATTTTGTCTATTACAACCTTTTCTTGTAGTGAACGAACTGTCATAATTTTTGAAAATTTCAAGAACAAAATTTTTTCCGCCTATTTTCCGATGTGATTAGATTGAATTTAACATTTTACAAAAAATTAAGGATCATAACGTATTAAAACATATATTACGCCGTAATTAAACTTTGAAATTGAAAAACTCCGAAATTGAAATAGGCACACATTTTCTTTTAAATTTGCGTTAATTGAAATAGTTTGCAGGATAAGTTTAAATCAACGCCTCTTCGTCGAACCCATACGTAATTCCTTTACTTCTTTTAATACGGCGAGTTTTTGGATTTTATTTCTAATAATGAAAATGCCTTGTTGTTGGGTTTCTACATTCACAGAAAGAAAATCGCTAGAAAACCACAAGTTTCATAGGCCATAATTAAAATGTCAGGATTTTTGAAAAACAAGTCAGAATTTCTCTGACATACACGATTCGTAAGAGACATTGCGAATTCGAATATTTTTTCTATTATTACCCAAAATTGTTATTGTTAAATATTGCTTAGTTTTTACCGGAAAATAAGACGTTTCTCATAAATTGACTTGTTTCTCAGAAATTATAACTTAACTCAGAAAATAAGACATATCTCAAAAATTCTGTCCTGTTTTTCAGAAACCAGGACAATTGTTTCATAAATTCTGAGTTGTTTTTTAGAAATTTTGACAAGTCAGAAATTAAGAATTTCTCAAAAAATCTGACTTATTTTTCAGAAATAAGGACGTTTATCGAAAATTCCTACGTGGTTTTTAGAAATTCTTAATTATTCTTTACAAATTCCGGTTTGTCTCTCATAAATTCCAAACTTATTTCTCAGAAATTAATTCATCAAATATTTTCTGACGTGATTTTGGGAAACATTTTTCTCAAAAATTCCCGAGTTGCTTAAAACTTCCGATTTATTCTTATTCACGTCGATTCTAAAAAATTGCGATCTGTTTTTCGGGAATTCCGACGACATGTTTCTCATACATTCTGACTTGTTTTTTTCCGGATTTATTAACAAAAACAAACATTACATACGTTTCGCAAGCGACGAGAAACTTAAACAGAGAAAATGTTACATACAAAAAAAAAAACAAGAAAATTTGGCGCTAATCCTCCAGAGTTTGCCGGCGCCTTTCGTGTATTCTCACGCTCATCAAAGCTGGCTGTGATATGTATCGATCGTGCCATTTCACATCCAGTTGACAAGCGAGAGCGCACACGCGCGTCTCCTTTTCCATCTCCACTCGCCTAGGCCGTCGCGTAGACCTCAATGGTGTATCGCTCATCAAAGCTGGCTGTGATATGCTGCGACAACGTGACACATTTCACAACCAACTGATGAGCGGCACAGTCATTCAAAACAACATCGTAGCTCGCCGCCCGTCGCCACCGCCGCTACGCAACTCGTCAAAATGGCTGTGATACCTCTAAATCGCAGGGCACACAACCAATTTGACAAGCCGCGTCGCCGCTAAAAATCCGCGTCGTTCCTTTTCCTCTCCCGTCCACCTCACGCGTCGTGGCCGCTGACGTCACGTCGCGCAACCCAGCTCATCAAAGTGGCTGTGATATCTTCATTCGTAACCGAAGAATTCACAGCCAAATTGACGATCCCGGGGCACGGACAAAACAAAACACATCCGACGACGATGAATGATGAACATCGATCGAACGGTGCTCATCAAAGCTGGCTGTGATAGATTGCAAAACGCTCTAAAACTGCCAACTCTGATGGGCAACGGCGGATCGCACAAAACAGCCATGACCTAAAATTAAAACATAAAAAAAACAACGCCGAGCGGGGGTGGTCGGCCGCCACATGAAAGACAAGGTAGTGAGACAAAAAAAAAACGAACATCTCACTACCCATGTCTTTCAAGGGGCAGCGCGCCGACACAGACTATAGCATTCACCATAGACAAAAAATATTATATTTTTATATAAACAACATTTTTGTATTTTCGTAGACACCTATCAGTTGGGGGGCATAATAACAAGGTGAACAAAGAGAACACTAAATATTTAGTTTCGTAAACAAAAACATTAACGATTACCAAAAAAAAAAATTATTGAACTAATAAAATCGTTTTTTTTTTCTCTCTAAATATTGCACATAACAAGCCATTTTTATAACTATATACTATAATTTATACTATCTTTATAATTATAATTACAAAAATAAAAAAATCAAAAACAAAAAATAAAACAAATGCCGCAGAAATCTCGAGAAAATTGCTTTTTTTTTAGAGAAAACGGCGAAAACCGGCACTTTTCGTGGTTTCAATAAATAAATCGATATATTTCACGCTTTAGCTTTATACATTCTCTTTTTTTTTAGTAAAATAATAAGAGTGGTTTGTTTTTTTGAAGACACTTTGTGAGTGCAAACACGATTTCATTACAAACACGAAACCGTAAACGTTTCATTTCTGCCCCGAACAATTTTACGTTTCCTAAGCCGGATTAATTTCAAACACAAGTGAGATGACACCGATTCGTAGACTTTTATTTTATTAAGAAATAAGTTTTTGTATTTAAAAAAAAACTACTACTAAACCTACAAGGCTATTCGTCTGCCATTTATGATGTAAAGTAAGACAACACCTAAGGAACGAGTCTCCATCTTATACTTATAGGGCAACGGCACACCACCCTCAGTTATTTATTGTATAACCGGAAAAATGGCGCCATTTTTGGTTGTCGTAACCCCCAAATCGATTCCTATTCGAATGCTTAAAAATTTATGAGGTAGTCTGGTTTTCGTACCTAACCTCACATTCTAGGCACTAGAAACGCGAAAATCGACGGGGCACTCTCGCCATAAGCCAACATAACCTCAAAACATACGCGGGAGTCGGCGGGGTACATCGAACGCGCGGCGAAACTCACCACGACCGCCCCGGTATCCACGTCCTGCTCGTCGTCCAATTTCGAGAGCGCTAATATGGCCGGACACACCTGGATCTCGACTTGCAACTGGGAAATGTGACCGCGCTTGATCATTTGCACGAGAGCCGTTTGCGCGGCTTTATCTACGTTGGTCTCGCACGAGCCCAAATTCCGCACCACGATCGGTATCAGATATTCGCCGACCACGTCCTTCAGGGCGCTCACCCTTGCCGAACTCTCGATGGCCTGCGCGGCCACGTCCGGTATAAGCTCCAACACCTCCGCCTTGTAGAACGAATCTGCAACGGGAAAATCATCGACGTTACACGCAACGGGGAAAGAAAAACTCGCACCGAAACGGGGCGCGTGGCTCCGCGACGCGAATGCGGCAAACGCGTGCACGCGGTATTTTCCACCATTTTGATTCTGAGTCCCGAACACTCTTGCAGGTTAACCGGGAACGCTTCGCGCGATCCCGGACCGGCCGACGCACGCCGGCCGTCCAGGACGTGACGCGGACGAGGACACGACGTTCGGCCACAAATTCCACACGTTTTTCAACTATTTCACGCGGATTTTCGACGGTTTCAGTGACCGAAAACGGACCCGCGAGCGTTACCACGGCCATGCTTCGACGTACTTGATGGCATCGGCGCGCGGTGGCGTTGCGATCGCCCGGTCGACCAAGGCACGCCGGCAAAACGGGCCACGTTGCCGACTCGTTGCATTCTTCAGTACGTAGCGGTCGCGCGGAATACTTTGGGACCGTTAGACAGACGACGGGAAAGGGACGAGGACGAAAAGCGACGCGGCGGCAACGCCGCCCGACACCGAGAAGAGATCGTTGAACGTTGGGTGTCGAACGTTTCTTCGTCGTAGTACTCACGAGCCGCGCCGTTTCATTCAACTCCGCGCAGCACCGCCCAAAGTCTACGGTCTGTGTGTGTGTGTGTGTGTGTGTGTGTGTATGTGTGCGTGCGTGCGACTGCGACTACGACGGCGGCGGCGGCGGCAATTTTCGACCGCATTATTTCGATTGGAACGAAAATGCGCGCCGACGGTTTTGTTTCGGGGCCAGCGGCGCGCGCGGACCGCCGGCGAAATTCCTCCGCGAGGAACGATATATTTCTTTTAAATTATTTATTTATCGATGACGTCACGGACGAACGGGCACGCACGGTACAAAAGTCGGTCGGTTAAACGTCAAGTGCGGGGCACAAATGCCGATGACACGCACAGGTCCGTACTCACTCCGTTTGCGATCTAATAAAAAAATAAAGTTCATTCATAGAGAAAGAATTTTGTTGCGTCCTGTATGGACTTCGGGGCTTCCTTTATATATATATATATATATATATATATATATATATATATATATATATATATATATATATATATATATATATATATATATATATATATATATATATATATATATATATATATATATATATATATATATATATATATATATATATATATATATATATATATATATGAACAGTGCGTTCAATTTATCTGGATAACATTTTAATTGGCTGAAGCTTTTTAGTTTTCAGAGATATCAAGGTAAGGAAAAAGGCAAAAGGTAGGATTAATAGCAAAGAACTAACCATATTTTTTTCCAAGTGATGTATAAAACAAAACACTTTTATATTTTAGTGCACTCGTTTTTGATAAATCGGCAAAAATAGGAAATTTTTATATATAATTTCAAAGATCGTCGCGACTGACTTGCAAATTAATTTGAAACAAAAACACTAAAAATGACAAGTCACACTAAAGTAAAAAATTCTAAATACTACTATGTGACCACCATTTTCCTGAACACATTTCTCATACACTCTAATTGTATGATGTTGTTGTAACGTTTCCGGATTATCTCTTAACTGATTGATTGCCTCTGAAATCCTTTGCCGAAGTTCCACTACATTATTACAAGGAGTTCTGTTCACGTGATTTTTTACGTGTCTCCAAAAGAAAAAATCTATTAAAGTTAAGACGGGCCTGTTGGCTGGCCTCTCATAGTTCCGCTGTTCCCTATCCAACCCCTGGGATATTCGACGTCAAGAAAATTTTTAACTTGTACATATAATCAGCGCCGATGTAGTTAAGGGTAATTTTTTTTATATATGTGTTCCATTTGGTGCACAGACAGATGCAAATAATGATTTCCAGTTAACTTTTGATCTATAAATATCGGACCCAAAACATGCCCATTGATTGGTACCCCTGGGTTTTTATTTCGGGTATTTGTCTGGGATTATTTAAAGACTTTCATCATTCCATAAAATGATTTTCAAAAAACTATTGTTCTCATTACGTCTATTTAAAAAATCCAAACAAAACTTAGTTTTTGAGCTTTACGAAATTTAAATGTATTATATTTATATTCTTTCAAAATTGAGTGGATTGATCCTCGAGAAATACTTGTCTCTTCATATACTCTAGTGATAGAGATAGAATCCAAATATGTTTGCTATTATTTTCTTCATTCAAATTTTCTTTGCCAGCATTGGAAATATCTGAAATATGTGGATTATTATTCAAAAAGTATACTTGAAGCATATCACTCCTTTCGCGGATGCTAAATCAGCGAAAAAACATTTTTTTCTACTCTCGTCTGTAAAATGCCTAATTACACACAGATCTAGCATACGGGAAGCGTGACTTTACCACTTCAATTCGTTTCCCACGGATCCGAGCCACTTCGGACATTTCCGGGATTTTACCGCACAGGTTTGGGAGCAATCGCATGTTTTCGGAGATATACATCTTAAATTTTGACTTTCTGACGGTGATGTCAGTGAATGCATTCGTGTTGTTTTGCGAAAATGTACCCAATAACTAACGGTCTTAGAAAAAATATAATATGCAACACGTTCGGTAAACTTTTTAAGTCACTCGCTTATTAAACACTCGCTCCGCTCGTGTCAAACAAACTCATAAGTCAAATGCCGTTTACCGCACTTGTTGCATATTATACTATTAACAATAAAGACTCGGACAATAATTCAACTGTCAACGTTGTTTACTAATATGTCAAACATAAACATATTTTTATTTTATACATTTTATAATATACAGGGTGTTCCATTAAAAAAAAATGTTTTGTTTTAAACGCCACTGTTGCTTTTAACAAACGTACGCAAACGTACGCAAATTATTGTTAATATTAACAATTTTAATGTATTCACACACAAATTTTCGACTCACATTATATTTTATTTCGACAGAAGCAGGAAAGATTTTTTAAAATTGGTTTTTGAACTATTCGTTGGTTTTTTTTATGTTTTGTCCGTGTAAGATTTTTATGTTTTGCAATGTAAGTATCGACGAATAAAAAAGTTGTGGCGATTTTTTTTTGTTTAGTTTATATTTATTCGGCAAATTATAAGATTTCCGAAGAAATAGTTCTGACCACATTATTTAAAAAAAAAAACGTCAATTAATAGAAAAACGAAGTTGAATCGTTTTAAGTCGGCTTGATTAAAATCAAGTTGAATAATTCAACGTCCATATTTTTTGAAAAACTTCAATATTCGGAGTCCTTGATGATAATGATAATAACCACAACGATATGACTTTTTTAAAAAAGTACTTAGACAGTAAAAAAAAACTTGCATTTTTTGAAACGTTTACATTTTTGTGGGGGTCACTTTAGTATTATTTACATTTTACAATTCGAAAAACTGACGTGACGAACCGCCAGACACCGAATTCTTAGCAGATGACTCACCGATCTTTTAACGCGTCACGCGCCCGCCTTTATAAAGCGAAACACACACGTCATTTCCGGACACATTCATACGCCATCGCGGCGCGCCAAATCGAGTCACGTGACCGATCAAGTCCGCGACAAACTGTATTTCCGCGTTTTACCCGTTAAGAGAAAACGGAATGGTTTCATAATTAACAAAAAACTAGAAAAATTGCGATTTTCTTTAGTGAATTTTTCAAAGAAACTTCTTTAGTGAACTTTTCCAAAAGACCAAAAACTTATTTCTCTATTTTGTATTTTCTGAAGAAAAGTACCCGATATTTATTTATCACGGTTTTGCCTATTTTTTATTTAATTGATTAAAATTGGTATTTTAGATCGCATGAGAATGTAACATAATTGAGAAGTTTCACAGATTCAGTTATTGCTTTTAAAAGATGTTTTTACTAACGTAGATTGTAGTATCCGTTTTCAAATATAGATATTTTAATATAAATAATTGTAAATTAAAAGTGGCAATAGTTTCTTATTGCAATGATAATTTGTGTAACATAATTTAAACTAAATTTGTGGATAATTTCATTTATATTCCTGGGGGGAGTCCTTCGACCAAGTCGTTAGCCAGAGAGAAAAAAAAACTTGATTTTCATTGGAGCACTTAATTTGAGTCATATAAAATAAGCTGTTTTCGTGACTACTTTTACTTGGCTTTGATAGAGCGAAATACGAAAAAAAAAAAATAGAAAATACTGAAAAACAGAACTAACCACTATAAAAAGGCACTAGGAAACTAATTATTAACTAAAAAATCAAACATCATTGATTTTTTTTTAAAAATCATGCATTTTTTGATTTTAATTGATTTTTTTTTAATTTTAGATAAATATGTATTTCCAGTTTTTTTTTTCAATAAAATAGAGCGTGAGGCAATAGTTCAAAGACTCAAAGCACACCATGATGCTTGTCATTATAAGCAGCAAGAAACGAATACAGGTAGGTAATTAATATTTTGTTTTATTATTACTTATTTCATTTTTAGTTAACTTTCCATCTTAAAAACATTAACATAATTAAGCCGTTTATTATTTAAGAAATGTCATGCTTTTTCGTCTTTTCTTTATTTATGTTAATGTTTACAATTTTTGGATGCTTAGTTATTCTTATTTTTTACGATACATACAAAAAGTATTTTGTATTAATAACGTATAATTTCGCTGTCTTATAATTTCTTATCTTAGAATGTCCACGATTTTCAACGCATTTAAAAAAAAATAATCGAATAAATTTAATAAAATTCAATAAACCCTTTGGTAATTTTTTAAAGGAACTTTGGACTCGTATTTGGTTTATCATTTATTAACAACGGTATAAATTTATAAATTACGTTTTTAATGCCCTCAGTTGCCCATTTAAAAACAAAATGTTTTCCGATGAAATATAAATATAAATACATATAAAAACATAAACAAAATAAAAAACAGTGGTGGACTTCACAAAAGGATGAGCCCGAAATTGCAACAATGAAACAGTTCGAACTTTAAGCGCTTTTGGTTTTATACACTCAAGTATAACGAACAGGATGGGAATAGAAAGAGGGAAAATTAGTATTTCTGTTCAAACTCTGCAACGAAAATTCAAAGCATATAGTGTTTATTATTACGTTATTTGTCTTATTTTTGTAACGAGTTTAATAAAATAGAATAGAGTTTCGCAAAAATGTTCGCAAGTTGAACAAGATGGCCGACGACAAACCTCGCTCTGGACGTCCCAGCACGTCTTTTTAATCGGAAAACACAAATTTAAAATGTCTTGTTTTCAACTTGAGATCTTGACGATTAAAAGTGCACCCCAAAATTTGGAAATAAAACCCTGAATTTATCGTAACATCTTAAACTGAAACAGAGAAATATGAAAATTTGTGATTTGTGTTCTATTGTGTGCATCAAGTTATTCTGGTGTTTTTTAATTAATTTTGACGAATAAATAAATACTTTTTGATAAACCTTAAAAGTCACCTTACTTTTTGAACGCCCCTCGTATATTAAAAATACCACGGGCAGAATGGGCAAAGAAAAGGAAACGGTCGGTTGAAAAAATCACAGACCAGAAGCGCTCTATTTTGAGATCGCGTTTATTTAGAAGCTGCGTGTCGATTAACGGCATTTCCGCCGTTGACAGGAAGTCGACACACGTGGAACGGCTACGAGCATTTCCCCTCTCTCCATCCCCATCCCTCGTCATCGCACCGCGCCTCACCAAAGACGCGACAGATGCACGCACGAGAAGACGCGACAGCATTATACCGAAATTTCTTACGATTATTTATTTCTAACTCTGGAGAGGGTCAAAAAACTGACCAAAACTCACTCCGGCACACCGAAAAAGTCACGGAAAATATAGAGTTCGATAAAAATTACTTATAAAGATTTTTTTTTGTTAATTGTAATTCCACAAAATTCAGGTGGTAAAACGGCAATCCCATCGTGGATTTTTTACATCTAAAATCACAGTGTACATATATCGTTTGTTGTGAAATTCCAATAGAATTTTGCAAATTATTTTATATTATTATATATTAATATCAAACAAGTTTAAACATAAAAAAGCTGAAAAATACAAATTAAAAACATTTTTGATATCATCAAAAAAAATCAGATATTAATGTTTAAATAAATTACAGTGCACTTTTCGATGTATTTTATTTGAAATATATTATAAAAGAGACTACGGCAAACTTGTTTAATTTCTTTAAGAATTTTTGTGTAATGTAGGGACTTTTTTAATTCACATTTATAAAACTGGGCGAATATAAAAAATTATAAAGCACACTAGATTGACATAATTGCAGCGGCAAATTTACGCAATTTGGGTAAAAATTTATATTAATATTAAAAAAATACACTGATAACCTATGGCCCCAAAATAACCCACGAAATATTAGAGAATTACTCTAATTCGTTTCAAATCTTTTAATTATTATAAAAAACGAATCAAAATTTAATTTTCACCTTCATTAATTGATTTAAATCGCTTGGTCGAGGAAATTTTGTTTGGCCTAAAAATGAAAAATTTGTTACGGCCCGCGTGTAATTACCCATTTTTATTTTTAAGGTAAACGACCGATAGATACTAAACATTACAATCAAAGGCCATATTTGTTAATTTTCAGTCTCATCAAAAACTTATTCTTAATTTTCTCTATATTGGTTAGGCAAAAGTCCAGTGCTTCCCTATAAATTCTTAGATTCTTTTCATTTTTTTGCCTTTGAGAGTTTAACATATAGGTACTTTTACAACATTCTTGAAGATATATTGTAATTTTCTTCAGTGCTCTTACAACATCTGCGAAAGCAACTGATATTGGTTTTAAAATGCAAACATAATGTATAAATGTATACAATTGTTAATAAATGATAAACCCCAATTTTACTTTAAAAAATTAAAGTTTATTGGATTTTATTAAATTTATAACTTTTTTTTAAATACGCTGAAAATCGTGTACACTCCCAAGATAAAGCAATTATACTGTATGAATACGAAATACTTTTTAATGTATCGTAAATAAATAAGAATAACAATTTATAGAACGGGAAAAAAACAATACTTAGCGTGGATATTGTACTATATTGTTTATAGTGACTCTAAAATATTTTGTAATTGCTACGAAAAAAAAACGGAAAATAAAAAAAACAAAAAATATGATATTTTAGTTGCTTTAAAATATTTTGTAATTGCTACAAAAAAAAAAGAAATTAAAAAAAATTAAAATGGCATGATTTTTTAGTTACTTTAAAATATTTTGTAATTACTACGAAAAAAAAACGGGAAATACAAAAACAAAAAAGCACAATTTTTTAGTTACTTTAAAATATTTTGTAATTGCTACAAAAAAAGGGAAATAAAAAAGTATGATTTTTAGTTGCTTTAAAATATTTTGCAATTGCTACGAAAAAAAAAAGGAAACAAAATAATTAAAAAAAGCACGATTTTTTGGTTACTTTAAAATATTTTGTAACTGTTACGAAAAAAAAAAAAAACGTAAAGTAAAGAAAAAATAAATAAATAAAAAGAGTCGTCGATAGACAATGACGTTTCAGATGAGTTGTAATTGAGTTTAATTTCTCGCATATTCAAAGCTCGCAAGAACTGTTTTTCCACTCACCCGTTTTTCGTTAAAAATAACGTTAACAAAAATCAAATCACCTTCGGCCACGTGGGTCAGCACCGTCATAATTTCGGTCAGTTCTCTGGTCAGCACATCCGGCGGAAGCGTGCAGAACAACTCCTGGATCAGTTTCGGCACCAAGTGACTAAAACAAAATGGCCGATTTGAAAAAAAATATATACAAACGGAAAACGCGCACTTTTGCCCGCGACGCGTCGAACACGTGACACACTCGCACCGACCATTTTGGCGGGAACAGAACACAAAGAATTTCGGTCCACACACGGTCGAGTGAGGAGAGTGGAAGGGGGAGGTGGAGGAGGAAGAGGAGGTGGTTACTTATGGCTGGCTACCTGCGGCAAGAGAGAGAGAGACGCTTCTCAGACCGTACCGCAACGTTGCCACGTCCCCGCCAATTTCCTCGTGCGCCGGGAAACCAAATCAAAATATGTCTCAGAAAAATGGCTGAAGGATTTGCTTGAAAAATAATAATTAATATCTATTAAATGTTAAATGTTATTAAAAATTACATTTTGAACTGTAGTCTACGGTTTTCATTTGAACCCCTTAGTGTACAACTTTTTTTTTAAATTAATTATAAATGTAATTTCCTTATTTAAAAAAAAAATAAAATTTCTTCTCTGGATGGTAAAAATAAAGATGATAAACATAGCTTTTTCTTTTCATAAGACTTGCGTTACAAGTGTTGAATATTGCCAGTATAATACGAATATAAAAAAATTAAATTATATTATAATTACGACAATTTTAATATTTTGCATACAGCTGCAAAAAGCAAAAAAACTAAAATTTAATGGAAGCCATGGAGATTAACAAAATGAGACATTCAAATGTATATCCATTATTAAACTTAAATTCTCGCAACAACATTAATTAAGATTTTATTGTAAGTTCTTGAAAGATCAACTTGTTTGTCCAATAAAAATTTTAGGACAAGATCCGCATTTCAACCTGTAGACACCTGACTTTTTGACAAATGTTCTGAAAGTTTTTCACTGGGTTCTCCTATGAAAGTAATTGTTTTAAATTGTTCGTATTAGGTTTCGGATAGATAGAGTTTTCTGTTGTCTGGATTTGTTTTTTATTTATAATTTTATCGATAATGGGATAATGTTCAGTACAATTTGTTTAATGATATTAAGTTCATTGTAATTGTAATTGTAATTTTCTGTTGAGCAGCATGCAGCGATTTTGTGTATATAAGGGTGATTTGGGCTGTTATGTATGATTGGGTCCGTGAGTGAAGGTTTATGGTAAATGGAAAAATCCAATTTGTTTTGCGTTTCCGTAATAGTTAAGCCTAAAAAATTAATAGAGTTCTGTTCAATCTCGATAGTGAATGTTATACGATAATGTAATGAGTTAATGCAATTTCAAAAATAATTCAACTGTCTGTCCGTTCCAACACAGCAAGCAAAGACATCATGCACGTATCTATATCACCATAGAAAACTTTTACTTAAAGGATGTTCTAATAATAAAATCTCGGCTAACAAAGGACTAACTGAGTTTCCCATAATCAAACCTTTCTTAGAGATGTAAATCTGTTCATTAAATTAATTTTGGTCTAAAGATACTATTAAGCAATCTAATAAATCTTGTTTCACCAATGGGTTAACCTGTTTCCGAGTGAGGGTGAAATCTACTAAATCCTTCACATCCATAAATACCTCTCCTTTCTTGAACTTAAATTTTCATAACAACATTAATTATGTGAACTTTTAGTTCTTATTAATTTTTTTAACAATCTTCTTTTGTCTTCTACATAGTTCTTCGATATGTAAACAATAGTTTTTTTTTAGGAATATAGAGTATATTCCGCTATGGATAAAGGCACGTCATAAGAATTCAGATAAATGTTTATTAGAATCGTAAACATTTTTTGAAGGTTCGAAGAATTTGAAGACGAATGACAATTTGGAATTTGGAACTGGTACTTCGTGAGTTTTTAAAGACAACAACAACAGAAAATGGATTATTAAATGCAAATGAAAAATTCGAGAGCAAAATACACACGACAGTGAAAAAAGGATGGTGTGATAAAAGTAACAAGTGTGTACTAGCTGTGCCGCCTTCACATGGAATACGCATAATAATTCTTTATGCTGGGTCTAAAAATGGTTGAGTGAAAGATGCCTCATTTTTCTCTGCCAAAAACGTCAAAGATTAATATTTGAGGACTGGTTGCAAATTAACTGTTGTCAAAACTATCGCCAAAGAAGAAATTAAAAAAATTCTGCACGAAAATGATTTATAATTATTAAACTACAAGAAAAAACAACTTCTGGAATTATTAAAACGGACATGAAATTTTGAGATTACCCCCCTGTATCAACCCGATTGAGTTGATTTGGTCCGAGTTGAAACAGCATATAAGAAGAAATAACAAAGCACCAAAATTAAGTGATAGTACTATACACGTAATTCGGCAAGATGTAGCTAAAATATCAGTACAACGATGATATATAACTGTGAAAAACGAGTAATAAAAGAAGAAAATATTTATCGAGAACGATTAGTGGCGGAGTTGATCATTGAAATAGGCGACGACAGTAGCGATATAGACTGATACTTTATTATTTATTATTCAAACAGAGATTACAGATAAATACTGGAAATCTCAGTAAAATTAAAAACCAAAGATAGCAGCGGATATGACCAAATTCCGGCTAGTATAGTGAAACTATCGATTCCGGTAATACCACAAGTTTTGCGTTGCGTTCCAGAGCAACTACGATTAGCTCTAATTAAACCAGTTTACAAAAAATGACATCTGAAAAATCTAGATAGCTATGGACCAATTAAACTGTTTGAAATGGTGATATGCTCCAGATTAGTTGAATTTATAAATGAATGTCAATTGATCTCTGGCTCTCAGCATGCTTACTCAACCATTTCCGCCATTTTTCAGTTCGCAAAAACCATCTTGGAGCAGTTTGAGGAAAAAAACTTAGCCGCAGGTTTATTCTTAGAAGATCATAAAATTTTATTGGACAAAATGGAGAGATATGGGATTCGTGGAAAAGCACTCAAGCACGTCATCGTAAGTAAAAACAATATTACAAAATCTAAAATCTTACAAACTAGTACAGAGGTACCACAGGGTAGCATACTAGGACCAATTATTTTTATTTTTTATATAAACGATCTACCAATGGGCACAGAAAATTTTTTCATAACCAATTATGCGGATGATACAAATATTTTGGCAACTCGAGAAAATCTATTGGCTGTAACAAATAAAACGAAAAATGCATTCAAGAGAATAAATTCATGGTTCATACAAAACAAACTAATAGTCAATCCAAATAAAACATTTTATTTTATTTAGAACGAAACAAAATCAAATAACAAGGATTCCAACTATCTACAAATTAATAAAATAAATGTAGAGAGTACGGAGAATACAAAGTTTTTAAGCGAACATCTAGCATGTACAAAATTACATAGGGTAGAATAACAACATGGTACGAATGTCTAATATTTATATTTAAAAATAGAAACGAATTTAACGCAAACAAAATACACAATTATAACACTCGAACCCAGTCACAGACTGTCAATAACAGAAAAAGGACCTTATTATATGTGCATCAAGATATAACCATCTACCGAACTCTGTGAAATGTATAAGCGCTATTAGAAATTTTAAGAAAAGTATTAGGGAAATGTTAATAAGCCTAGAACCATATACACTTGACGAATATATTAATTAATCGTTGTTTAGTTTTGACGGCATTTCATTTGTACTTTTAATAATGACACCATGTAGAAATCTAATGAAATATTCGGCAGGGTGTTCTATAAAGGGCTGCCGTTTTGGAATAATAAAGAGTAGGCAAAGTTAATCACGGGGTCGGTTGTAAAAGCAATATATATCTCGTGGAAGTGTAATCTAAAAAATTTTGATAGAATTTGACTGGTGAAGTTTGAGAAAAGAAAAACGTAAAAATGGCAACGTCGACCCCCTAGGCAGCCGGGAGCACAATACACGACTACTAGGAAAAGCTCGGCGAAAGACCGGCACCCATTACCATTATATATGTTAGACGACTGGTTTTCCATCGGGAGGGTTGCACGGCGGCGGTGGCCTGCTAATTAACGAGCGTCGAAAATCGATTTATTTCACACCGAAACGGGTGGGGGCGGGGGAGAAAACAAAAATTCCCCGCGTATAGGGAGGCGACGATACGCACGGCAACGCCGCTTATTGCGTCGCGGCTCCAATATTCGGCAGATAAGCGGATGACCATGGCTGACGTCACGCGAGACGGAGGGCGAGGGGCGAAACAATGTTGCCGCTTCCTCGTCCGAATGCAATAGCAATGATCGAATTATGAAATGGTGGAAAATCCCCAAAAGCGTTCTGGTTCGGGTGGGGGGGGGCTCAGGTTTGAAACTCTTATTAAAAAATGATTCATGTTACTAAGTTAACGTTTTATTAATTTTTTAAAACAAAAATACAGTAAATCGTGGGTAGTGAATTCATAGGGCAATGCAGAACAGGAACAGAACCACTTAACAAATAGTTTTTCAAGACGACTATATGTATTATTCACGCAGAACGTGTAACGGAACGAGGTGAAATTGATTTAATATCTTATAGTAGCTCACAAAAAAGGCATTTTGCATGATTAGTGCAAAACCGTCGTATTTTATAACATTATTTAACTTATTATAGGTTTAAAGGCTAATAAATTTATCTATGTATATTCGAGTTATTGCAAAAAATCTCAGAAGCGCAGAAACAAAATATCAAGCATCAAGAAAAGCTGAAATTAAAGTTCATCTTAAAGAAGGGACAATCATGAACAATTGAATATAGGACAGTAGTTGCAAGCATGTGTAAGCAAGGACACCGAAAGAATATATGCAATAGACTTGCGACAAGGTAAAGAAGTAATTAGTAATAAAAATATTTGTAGCAATGTGTAGCACATTACACTGTACCACTGAAACTATATAAGTATTAATAAATTTCAATTATGTTGACGTAATTTTAGAAATGCCGAAGGTGCCACTGTGCAGAAATGGGGGCAATCGAATGTACCTGTAGAACTGAAAGAATTGAGTAGAGTTCTGGGAGCAAGCGAGTAACCTAGATATTAGTTTGGTTATACAGTT